CGCTTAAGGAAGTTCCTCCTCAAGAAGAAAAGAATGAAGAATCTGTGGTTGACCAAGCAGTAGACTCTGTTGAAACAATTGAAAATGAGAAGGAAACAAAAAGTGATGATTCGAAAATGAAACATCAAAGAGATCAAGTGAAGAATTCTCAAAAGTCAACATCCCTCTCAATGTACATTATCTTATCTCTTATGGTTGCAGTAATGGGCTATTTAGTCAACCAACAAATGATAATCAATCAATACAACAAGAATCTCGAGAGTAAATTAGCCAAACTTGAAAATCCTCAATTAGAATTCAAAATGGTTTCCAAAGTAGGCCTTGGTGATATATTCGTTGAGTGTCCAGCAAGTTTCACCCTTCTTTCTTGTGGAATCAATCACTCTGATAATGGACACAACACAGGTCATCGACCATTCTCCACCACTGGATGTGTTTGTTCTCAAAATGCAGACGAAACAAACCTTCACCTTAAATACACTTGTTTCGCTTACTGCATGAAAAATCCATCACTCTATCAATCCAAAACAAAACCTTATCCATTAAGCATTGAATAATAATAAAACATAATGTTCTTTGTTCCAACTAAATTAATCCATGAAGGAGAAGTGCTATCCCAGCAACAACAAGTGGGATAACGGATTTTGGTGGACTTTGAAACCGCAACCCCTTTTCAATGTCCTTACAATGTCCATCGCATGATGGTGTTGAGGTTTTAAAAAACTAACTTTCCAAAACATGTATGGAGAAATAATTTGAAAAAATGGTTTCTGCACAATTATTACAAACTCCTTTCGAAGATATGAACAGAATGCAACTAATTCTCAATTCAGTGTTGGTTGTAATTCTTGTTGCCTTGCTCATTCATGTCATTCGTTTCTTGCATGTCTATTTCAAGTTTAGACACATACCTGGATATGTTTCAATTCTACCACCCATGCTAGCTAGCATATTTGCAGGTGAAATGTATGTCGACTATGGATACAAATGTACATTGAAAGCATTCTTGGACAATCCAGAGGCAAACCTTGTTAAAGTTCAAAATGGTTATGGTATTGTGTTTGCTGTGGCCAGAGATCACGATTTAATCAAGGAAATGCTAGTGAGAAAGTACAAAACATTTGCTAAGGATGAAAAGATGTGGGAACCATTGGCTCTCTTTGGACACAATATTTTGTCTGCAGATTCAATGAATCCAATTTGGAAAAAACATAGAACACTTGCTAATCCAATATTTTCGAATGCATCACATTTGAGAAATGTATTTAGAGTTACAGTGGAGGAATTGCCACACATGATTGAGTATCTTAGAAGACATTATTCAGTTGACCAAGAGAATCAATCTATTAGAAATGTTAATATTACCCAAGAACTCAAATCCATTACCTTGACGGTTATTAATAAGGTTGCATTTGATTATGACATTCAATTATTTGACAGACTCCAAGACATAGTGAGGAAATGCATCAGTCAATTGGACATTTATTGAGTGGAATTTTGTATCAATTCATTTTCCCAAAGTGGTTCTTTGATTATATTCCTATTGGAATTTTCAAACAATTTAAGGAAGCAAAACTGAGATTCCACGACAGAGCCATGACCATGGTAAGAAAAAAACAAGCCGAAATTGAAAAGAATATAGAAATGAAAGATGACGAAGATTTATTGAGTCTATTATTGAAGAGCTTTGCTGCACAAAACTTGTCAGATGATGAAAAATTATCCAATGATGAATTGGTCAGTGCAATTTTCATTATCTTCTTTGCTGGATTTGAAACTAGTTCAACATCTTTGAATTTCTTTCTGAGAATATTGGCAACTCATCCAGATGTTCAAGAAAGATTGATTGAGGAAATTGATTCAAATATCAACTCTATTGATTCAATGACTTTTGAAGATTTAACGGAAAAGCTTCCACTTATGAATTCTTTCATTAAGGAATCGTTTCGAGTTAAACCAGCCGTTGGAGCTGTAGCAAGAACTGTCTTGAAGAAGGAAGGTGAATCTATTGGCAAGATTCACTTGGAAAAGGGGTCAGTTTTAATTTGTAACATGATGGTTCATCATCAACTCTCTCAGAATACAGCTTTGGATACCTTCAAATTTAACAGATATTATCAAGATCCAACTCTTGAAGAGAAGATTGACAGGGGAACTATGGGACATTTGGCACTCGATTTTACAAAGGATGATTTGATTCCATTCTCACTAGGACCAAGAGATTGTCTTGGAAAACGTATGGCACTAATAGAAATTAAGGTCATTCTCGTTTTCTTATTAAAACAATTCAGGTTGAAAGTTCCAGATCATTTGAAAGAATCTCAATCAAAAATTAAGGAAGGTTATTTCATGACAAGAACAACAGACTCTCCATTCATTCTTGATTTTGAAACTAGATAATCTTTCCTTTTTCATAGGACGGTCAATCAATTTCTTATTAAAAAAAAATGAATACAAAACTCACTTCACACTTGCCACATTTGATAAAACACAATTTTCCGAGTGTAAAGTATGCCTTTGCCTATGGATCGGCAGTCTTTAAACAAAAAGGGAATGAGGCACTTCATGAAGATTTTGATAAATTACACGACACTAAAATTATTGATGTGTCCAAGCCTGGTGAGGAGGAGAAGGCTGTAGTTCCGATTGTTGTGGATAGGAAAAAGATGATGGTAGATATGGTGCTTGCTGTGAGTGATTCGTATGAATTTCACAAACAGAATTTATTATTAAATCCAGAGCATTATTCAGTGTTGATGAGGATTTTGGGACCGAGAGTGATTACATTGCTACAGGAAAAGTTTGGAGCTAGAATTTATTATAATACAATGGTGGATTTGGATGATATTCATACTGGTGTTAGGTCACCATTTTTGTTTAAATATGGAGTTATAAAGGCACAACATTTAATTAAAGATTTGAATAATTGGGAAACTTTGTATGTGTCTGGAAGATTGCAAAAACCAACCTTTACAATTGATACAATTGATGAGAATGTTAGATCACTGCCAGGACATGTGGATACATGGCATCAAAATATCTGTCTAGCTCAGGAACACAATTTGGAGCATGCCTTATTTACTGCATTGAAAATTATTTTATCTGAAAATCAATTGACAAATGGAACAGATCAAGAACAGGATATCAAAATTAATTTATTCGATTTATTTGTAATGATTGCCTCGCTATCCTATCAAGGAGATGTTAGAATGAAAATCAAGGGAGCAGAAAATAAGAATAAGGTGACTAATATTGTCACAACAAATTATGAACATTTTATAGAACTGTACGAACCAATTATGGAAAAGAGTAAATTATCGATCAAATTGGATCCAGATACTAAACAAAGTTATGTGAATATTACCAAATCAGATGTGGAGAAGGTTCGTGGTAGAGATCTACCTTTGAATGTTCAACAACAGCTCAGTAATCAATCAAAGATTACTGCTGATAGCATCCAACAAGCTATTGCCAAGATTGTTTCCTCATCTAGTACATCACAAACTCTGAAGGGTTTAATTTCGGCTGGTCCTGTAAAGAGCTTTCACTATGTTTTGGAAAAATTGAAAAAAGGATTAAAGAGCCACAAGTAGTTATGCTGCCTTGTGGATATATTTAATGGTTACAAAATTTCAAAATTCAAAACTTTTTCATCCTCTGCCTCAATCCTTCTCTTTTTACTGATACCATGTCTAGCAATTCATCATCAAAAATCATACCAAGTTATTCAGAAACACTCTTGTACTTTTCCTCCAATTCCTTCTTTTTTTCCACCCATCTCTTCAATCCACTTGGAGAAAGTTTATCCTCTCTTGGATCGAGAGCATACTTCCTCTCAAAACTAGGTGACAAGTTTCTCATAAAAGAGAATACAAGCAGGAGTGATGATGAAACAGTCAAAATATTGGCTTTACCAGTTTGTGGTGGATTTCTTCTCTTTCTTAAAACTCCACTCACATATGCAGATCCGAGAGCTAAATTAAAAATTAAAACATTGAATGCAATTGGAGAGTTTAATCTTGTCTCATAAACTGCTCTTTCGGCCACTAGTAATGTGCTCCTATCATCGGGTCCGATTGGTTTTTGTGTTTGACGAAGAAGTTTGTTAGTATTTGTTGGAATGATATTTGGTTGTGGTGTAGGGCTATTGCTTTCAGACATTTTTTAGTAATTAAAAAGTAAAATTTAAATATTAAATAGTAATTGATTATTCATGATTAATTATTTATTATTTTAAATAGTTTCACACCAATATGTACATTAAATATTTTCATAATAATTATTATTACTTCTTTGAGAATTTTCCTTTGAAAATGGTACTAATAGATTCTTCAGTTTCTCTCCTCGTCTTACTCAGGGCAGCTTTGATTGGTTCGAAAAAGTTCGTATCCTTGAAATCTTTCTCCTTTTGAACTGGAGGTGCAGTGTTTGATTTATGACCATGATCTTCACCTGGTTTGACACCAACAAACTTTTCAATTACAATTCTTTCAGTAGCTTGATAATTGAGTGTATAGGATGAATTTTCTTGGTCAACTGTGAGTGTAGCAGATGATTCAGTGTTATCTGTTGATTCATCGGCTTCAGATGTCTTGTTGAAATTAAATTGTGAATCATCATATCTTTTACGTGGCTTTTTACCTTCGGAAACATCTTGTATAAGTAATTTCATAGCAAAATCAGGTGTCTTATTTTGCTTTTGCATTTCCCACAGAATACTATTCACTCTCTCGGTTCTATCTGTTTGACCAGCACATTCCTCAATTTGTTTTCTAAAATGGTCAATAGAATGATCAATGGTCAACATCTTTTCAGCAATCTTTCTAGCTTCATCCTCTGTTAATGAAATCTTTCTATCCACTTTGGTTTCACTAATTTGTTTTGATGTTTCTTCCTTAGATTCAAATAGTGTTCCAAAATTTCTCCTTCCATGTACTCCCTTCTTATTCATCAATTCAAAAACATCTTGATCGGCCGGTATTTCTCCTCTCAAAAGACACGATGATGAAAATTCGAATTTTTGCACCCGAATAATATTATTACTAATTAAATTCCGATAATTATTGCAACAAGGATAACGACGAAGTGGCTTTGCGAGCACGTTTTTAATCATTTTTTATTTTATTATTATTTTGCAACAGGTGAATTTAACAATGGAGAACGGTATTGGATGATTCTCATCAATTTACTAATATTTGCATTTTAATAACAATTGGAGAGTAGTATCAAAAGTGAGCGAGGATGTAATTATTATTGTTGCTTACAGATATCAAAAGTGATTCTTCTTGGAATTGAATTTTGAAACTTTCATGGTTTGATAATTGAAAAGCAAGATCCAAAAAAAATGAATTTAGCAGCTAATCTTGTGAGTACCTCCACTGCAGCAGTTGCTGCTGGCTCACAGAGACAATCACTGCCCTCCGTAGGAGCAAGTGTTGGTGCTGGTGATTCTGTGCAGCCACACCAGCAACAATATCATTTAAACACAACTGCAGGAAGTAGAAAATCAGAACATTTGGATGATACGGAGAGGGATGCCTTGTCTGCTGATGAAGATGTCTTTCCAACATTTCGATCAGTAATTATGGGAATGGAGGAGGGGAATGATTTGGAGAGAGCTCCATCTTCCTCACAACATCATTATAGAGATGGATTTGGAAGGAATGATGATGAGGATCATGATTTCAAACTGGGTCACAGTTGGGAAACTAATAAGTGGTTGAGGTGAGTTTACTTGTTTGGAATTTTTAGTTTAAATTGGTGAATTTACAGAATTGGAGTTGTTGTAACGTTTAGTTTGATGGCAATTCTTCTTTTTGCCTTTCTCATTGTAATAATTACATTAGCGAGTCGATCTGTGCCAACTAATGGAAATAATGTTATCAATAATTCAACATCTTGGGAACCACCAGTTACAGAATCTGGTATTGTAAATTTGATTAGAGCAACAAATGGTGCAACAGCTGCAGACAATGAAATTTGCTCAAATATTGGAGTGAAAATAATGAGAGATTATGGGGGAAATGCTGTGGATGCAGCAATTGCGACAAGTTTTTGTATTGGAATTATGAATCCTTTCAGTGCAGGAATAGGAGGTATGTTTCTCAATTCATTTTCGAAAGTTGAAATATTTTCACATCAATAATACTTGGATGAATCAGGAGGAGGAATTATGGCAATTTCCAAACCAAGCACAAATGGAGAATCGATTGTGGAATATATTGACTATAGAGAAACAGCACCCTCTGGAGCATCTTGGGATATGTTTTCAAATATGCAACCAGTTGACGGAGCACCTCCTTCTCAGAGAGGTGGAAAAAGTATTGCTGTTCTATCAGAAGTGAAAGGTCTTTATACTGCCTGGCAAAGGCATGGCTCTATTAGTTGGAATTTACTCGTTGAACCATCAATAGAGTTGGCTAGAAATGGAGTAAAGGCTAATGCAGTGATAGCTGGTCATTTACAAAAATACAAGAATTGGGTTGTCAGGGAATCATTTGGTTCAGGAATGAAACAAGTTTATGGAACAGCTGATGGAGATGTTAAAAAAGAGAATGATTTATTGGTCTATCCTAAACTTGCCCAAACTTTGGAACAAATTGCTATTTATGGAGCTAATGCGTTGTATAGCTTGAATGGCTCTCTGATTCAAGATTTATTATCAGATTTACAACAAGCTGGAAGTATCGTTACAATGGACGATTTACTCAATTATCAAGTTAAAATTTATTCAACTCTTAACACCAACGAAGAGCAGCAACCTCTTTCAACCTACTTTATGGGCTACAAGGTATTTGGTCCACGACCAGTAATATCAGGCGGCTCTTGTATCATTTTCATGTTGAACATGTTGGAAAATTTTGTTGGAGAATTATACTCTTCTGCAATGAACAGTGAAAAGGGAGAATATGAGAGGGGAGAGGAATTTCATCTCTCACAGAAAAAGTATGCTCTCTTTGTGGAGGCACTCAAGTACGCATTTGCACATAGAGGTGACTTGGCAGATCCCGACTTTATTGACATTAAGGATGTTCTTGGAAAAATGACAAGCAAAGATTATAGCTCAAAATTGAGAAATGAATTGGAAAAGGCTCTGAGCAATAATTTAACATTCTCTGATCCTCTTCATTACAAATATCAGAAAGATTCAGGATTTGTCAGAGATGATCACGGAACTTCTCATCTCAGTGTGTTGGATAAGAATGGAATGGCTGTCTCTGCTACCACAACAGTCAACCTGATTTTTGGAAGTTTTATTATTGGTGAGAGGACTGGAATTATATTTAATGATCAAATGGATGACTTTTCCCTTCCAAACACCACCAATTATTTTGGACTGGCTCCTTCACCAAGTAATTATATTGCAGCAGGTAAGAGGCCACTCAGCTCCATGTCTCCAATGATTATCCACAAGAATAATCAAATCTATCTTACCATTGGTGCCAGTGGTGGCTCCAGAATTATATCTTCAGTATTTCAAACTATTTGGAATCATATTGTTGGTGGTTTGGATATTGCCAAGGCGATTCAGTTCCCAAGAATTCACCATCAATGGAGCCCTGACTCACTCGCAATTGAGCAAGGTATTCCTGATGACCTAGTATCATTTTTGAAGAATTATGTTAATGGAGGATCCATTAGTAGAGTTCAAGGTAATCCTGAATTCAGTGTTGGAATAGTTCAAGGAATAGTTAAAAAGGGAGCTAATGAAATTGAGGCGGCTTCAGATATTAGAAAAAAGAGTAAAGCTGCAGGGTATTAATCATCTCAATTAACCAACATTGATCAATTAGATTTCTAATTTAATAAAAATCTAATTAGAAAATCAAAAAAATGAAAAGAAATGTAAATAAACCACCACTCAAATCATCTCGAGGAAGTTCATTAGATATTGCCATAAGGAAGGGATTATATGGAATGTAGGTGTTGTTCTTTGTGATGAAAGATTAATTTGGATAATTTTATCAAATAATTAACTGCACGGAACGAATAATACTATTTTATATTTAAATGGAAGAACTTTGGAACAATTACAAGAGTTTAATGATAATCATGATGTTTATAAATTACAAAACGAATATGGAGGAGCCCACGGGTTGGCACAAGCTCTCGGATCAAATATTAAAGAGGGAATTAGTAATTATGAAGTTCAGGAAAGAGGATTTCATTTCGGAAAACATTTTAGTTTGCAACGAGTGAGTCCAACACGATATAATTCATGGTTCCGATTATTTATTATTACATTTAAGGATTCTTTCATGAAAACCTTCTTAATTTTGGCAATAATTTCAATCATTCTGGGAGTTATTCTGCCCACAGAACAAAAAGAGAGAAGAAAGGGTTGGATAGAGGGTGTCTCGCTTCTGATTGGGTGTCTCTTTGTTTGTGTGGCGAATAGTTTTATTGGCTGGCAAAAAAAGAGAAAGTGGAATGAGATTCACACCTTACAAGATGCTCAATACAGAGTAAAGGTAACACGTGATGGAAAAATTACATCCATTCTTATGGAAAATTTAGTGGTTGGTGACATACTTCATGTAGAACCTGGTGATTTTGTTACATGTTCTGGAATAGTTGTTGATTCACATAATTTAATTTGTGATGAAAGCTTTTTTACTGCCAACGATACTAACTCACTCAAAGATAAGAATTTGAATCCTTTTATTGATCCAGAAACGTTTATTGTAGAAGGTTATGGTAGCATTCTTGTCACTTCAGTAGGAGTTAAACAAATCCTTTTGGATGCTTTACTGAATTCTAAAGATGAGGAGTCTTCCTCTCCTTTGGAAACTCGTCTTTTCTCCATAGCTAATAATATTTGGAAAATAGCTATTGGCTTTTCATTGAGTGTTTTTGCACTCTTGATGGTTGGGTGGACCATTTATAAGATTGGACTCATACAAAACTATCAGGAGGAATGGATTGTTACTGATCTATTGACAGTTCTCAAAATGATATGTTTATGTTTTTCTGTACTCTTTGTTTGTACTCCGAATGGAATTTACAAGATAATTACCACTTCAATGGCCTACTCTTCACGTAAAACTATAAGAGACAATATCCTTCTGAGTGTGAACCAGAATATGGATGTGAGTGAAAGGTTGGGATATACTTCACAAGTGATTATTGGAAAGTCGGCCCTTACACAAAAATCAATGGAAGTTGTCAAAGCGATCATTGCAGGTGAAAATATTGAAATTGGCACAGGAGATGTTCAAATTGATGAAACTCTTTTACAAATTTTATCGAGTGCCTTATCTGTGAATTCGAGGGCTGATATTAGAAATGATGATAATATGCAAATAGAGGAGAGTATTGGGGATTCTTTAGACTGTTCCCTATTGATTTTTCTTCAACAAATTGGAGTAGATTATGCACCTATAAGAAACTATTATTTTGAGAATAACAAAATTGTAAAAATGTTTACAAAGAAAAATGGAACCATGACAACTATTGTGAGGAATAATGGAAATTATATTCTATTTACCAAAGGATGTTATGAATCCATTCTTGAAAATTCATCTGGAGAATTGTTGAAAGAAGGAGTTGTTGCTTCATTCACTGATAACAGAAAAGAAGAGCTCCGAGAAACTATGAGCAAACACATTCAAGAAGGATATACAATAATTGCAATAGCTTACAGAGAAATTGAAGACACAAACATTCTCTTTGAGAATAATTTAACCATTGATGACGACTGCTACAGTAATTTAGTATTAATATCATTCCTGATTATTCTTAACCCATTAACCACAGGAATTAAGGAATCCATATCTCAATTGAGAGACGCTGGTATTTTTGTGAGGTTGGTTACTGGAGAAAGTGTTTCATCCGCAAAGAGACTTGCAACTGAATGTGGAATTATGACTGAAGATGGTACATGTCTAGAAGGCCCTTCGTTTTTCAATCTGAACGAAGATGAGCTCATTAAAACTCTTCCTAATCTGCAAGTGGTTGCCAGAGCAAATAATGCACACAAGTACCATCTCATTTCTGAATTACAGAAACAGGGGGAGTTTGTCACCATCCTCTCTTCATCTCACAAAGATGTCCCCTCCATAAGAAAAGCAGATATTGGAGCTGTTTGTGGAATTAAAGGATCACATTGGAGCAAATACTACGCCGATTTGTTTATTACAGATGATAGACTGAGTTCTCTTGTGAGAGCCATCGCTTGGGGAAGAGCTTTGTTTTACAATATTCAAAAGTATCTAGTTTTTCACATGACTATCAATATTGTAGTCATGACATTGACTGCAGTTACCTCTATAACTGCCTATCTTTTGAGCCCAGTTCAGTTTCCACCCTTCAATCCAGTCCAATTGTTATTTGTACATATTATCATGGACATTTTTGCAGCTCTTTCTCTGGCTTCTGATCCTCCTCATAAGGAAACTATGAAACAAGATCCAATCAAACCCAAATCAAGTATTGTAAGAAAGAATATGAAATTTCACATTGTTGGTCAAATTCTCTATCAGTTAGTGGTATTGATGATTTTGCACTATAGTGGAATTTATATTTGTATCAACAATAAGGATGGCGACAAGTTGTGTCTGAGTGATCCTGGAACCTCCTTCAAATCATCCAAATCATCCCAAGTTGTGGAAACAATGGTATTCAATACTTTCATATTTTGTCAAATATTTAATGAGATTAATTGTAGAAGAATTGATAATGGGATGAATCTATTGAAGAATATTCACCATTCATTATTATTTGTGGCAATCTTCATTCTTAATATTGCATTTCAAGTATTCTTAGTTCAGTTGAGTTTGGCAAGTTTAGTGCCATTGACTTGGTACCAGTGGTTAGTTTGTGTTGCCATTGGTTTTATTTGCGTACCTTTTGGTTATGTGTTACGATTTTTATCTTCAAGAATAATTACATCAAACAAATTGAAAAAGGGAATGAACAAGATATTTAAAAGAATGGTTCGTAGTGTGCCTAGTCGAAATCATAACCTTAACATCACATGATTCATAAAAACATTTGTTCATTTAAAACTGGAAAAGTAATTGGTAAAATCTAGTAAAAATTGGAAGTTAAATGAAAAACAAAAACAAAAAAATGCCAAAAAACAAGGAAGTAGCAACTTCGGAGGAAAATGATCAACAAGATGAAGTCATGGCCGATTCTATAGAGGAGGAAACATCCAACACTAGTCGTAAATCGGATCAATCTAGAAATTCTGATGAATTGATGAAAATTAGTAAAGGCTTGATAGATTTGTCTAACAAGACAAATAATTCAGCAAATGAACAATTACTAAAATACATACAAGAAAATAAGTTGGTCGATTCTCTAAAAGAAATCAAGTCAATCATGACGCAATATTTACTCAAATCAAATTTTGATCACTTATATCAATTTATGAAAGCCTATTTTCAAAGTTGTAGACCAAATGTCATATCAGAGAGTGTTTTCAATACTGATGTGAATAGCACTAGTTCCGATAAGAGTGAATCTACTAATCAATTTAAACTCTCACGTGAGAGGGCCTTCATGCTGAAATTACTCACATGTTGGATGTTTGAAGGAAGATTAGAAGGAAGAGTGGCTAAGAATGGTTTAGGTATCATATTCGAAGAATTGGATTATTTACCAGATGCAATGCTTGTCTCATTAATTCAAGCAATTTATACATTGTTCAAAGATGGTGGACAAGCATCAGATGTAGTTTCACCCCTCTTTGGAAATAATTCAAATTTTGATAGCATGGAAAATAATGCAGGACTAGTATTGGATATTTGGACACAGTGTATTTCTGCAGTAATGGCCAAGGATGAAATTGAAATCAATTCCAAAACAAAAAAGAAGAAGAAATCGGAAGAATACAAGACTGGTATTATCAAGGACATGTGTAAATGTGATTGGTCCCAAAAAGTATTGGCATTTGCCAATGCTTTCAAGGATATGCCACTCAATGACAATGAATTAGAACTAGTGGTAGACAAATTTTTCAAATACTTGAACAAGATGAACTTGAACGATTGTGCTCCACTCATTTACCAACTATTGATTCTTTCTTCAAGAGGAAAGAGACAGAAAATCTTACTAGGAATTATTGCATATTTTGATAACTTGGAAAAAGAAAAGAGGCGAAACTCACTAACATCTACTGAAGATTCAGTTAACCAATTAGAAGGAACAGTTTTACACTTTATCGATTATGCGACCAAACAGAACCAAGAATTAGCCACAGAAATGTTAAAAATAATGAAGAATGAATCAAGTGGAGGACTAAATACCTTTAAAGCTTCCTTCTTACTAATCATTTCAGGTTTGATGAATTTTGAGGAAAAGGCGTTCAAGGTTTTAAAAACTTTTGTAGATGACGATTACAAAAATTCCACCAAAATTCACCTCTATCTCTCTGAGGAAGAAGACCAGTTATTATCCTTCAGATACAAATCTAGTAACGTAATTTTAGATACAGTGAAAAAATGTGGAAGAGGAAGAGATTTCATGATCAAGTCTGTTGTTGACTTTGCATGCTATCTTTTAGATGCTAAAAAGGTTAAAGCCTCTAGTGATGACAATTTTGTTTTAACTAAGGTGGCAATGCACTCACATGACTTGGGATTGGAAATATTAGGCAAAATGTTCGAATTGAGTCAATTTGTTAGATCCGATATTCTCTCCAGAATTTTTAATCGTGTGGTGACAAATTATGGAAACACTGAAAAATATATTGACCTCTTGAGAAATATATCAAAAAATCAAACCAATTGCCTTCTTGACCATATTTCCAAACTCAAAGAAACCATTGAATACCTATCAACTATGCCTACAGATATATCAAATGCACTTCTCACTGCCGTGCAACCACTTTATAAGAATAGCCAAGAATTCCAAGATCAAGTAGTATTGGTTTTGCGTAAGTCAATGTATAGCAGAGAATTGGATTCAAGACTTGTTGCCTTGAACGGATTTTTACAAATTTTATTAGCTTCTGGAGAATTGGAAGAATCAAATGTTGGATCAAGTAGTGCTAGCAGCTCTTCCAGTAGTATTGCACAACACAGAGCAAGCACAATAGATTTGGAAATTATTGGATTTTTAAGAAGATGTCTCGGTCAGCAAATGATCGTTAGAAAGACGCTCTATGGTGGATTGTGTGACCTTGTCACAAAGAAGCCAGAATTGAGAAAGGAAATTACTCCAATCATGATTGACCATCTTAAAAAGTACATGTCCATGGAAGATGAAGACAAGCCAGAGGTATTTTTCGATAGTTGTATTGGTACCAAAACAATGACAATTGCTGAACCTCTTCCTTCTCTCTTTTATTATTTAGTCCATGTAGCAGATGATGAAAGGGATAAGGACGCCTACAACATGTTGATTGGTATTATGAATTATTTATTTTCCAAATCATTGAGTGAGCTCTCCATTGATAAACCTTTCGATGATACTAATGAAGGAAAAAAGAATAGACTTGTTGCCACCATATATGCTGGATGTATTGAGGCATTATTTGAGTTTACATTGTTAATTCTCTCCAAAGATGAGGACAATGGTAGTCAAGCAATGGAAGTATTGAATACTTTTTGGGCTAACTATTCCAAAGTAATAGAAAATCTTAATAAGAAACCAGCTTCAACAAGCAAGAAAAAGACATCCACCACTGAAAAGTTTGATCCAACTTCTTTCCTACCAGAATTATCCATTCAATTTTGCACATCAGCTATTAGCGCTGCTTCTGAATCTGTGAAAGATGTAGAAGTATCAGAGAATGCTATTGCTGATAGTAAATTCCATGCCTACCTACTCAAGTTAATTGCAAAGAAAACAAAGGCTGCCAAGAAGATAAATCAAAAACTTCCAGATGATGGCTTGCTAGGTATTGTAAAGGGTCTCTATATTTTCTTGGTAAGACTGACCAATAAGGGCTCATCAGCCTCTACTGACGACCCGAAAAAGAAGGATAAGACCACAACACAAACTTCAGAAGTGTTTGAAGAATTAATACGTATGAAAACTCAAAATAGTTCTCCAGCTGAAATAATCGATTTTTATGAGGGCTTTATTCGATTGTCTAAAAGTCAAACCTCCTCTAACAATGATAGTAGAATTAGTGACATTATGCAAACTCTTCAGAAAAATATTAGTAGTATTCTCAAACAAAAATCATTTGAGACAGCCACTTCATTTGTTAGAATTCTCACCAGCTTGGTTCATTTTATTGAGGGCAAGTGTGAAATTTTAGAAAATTCTGGACACTACTCTTGGATAATTGATATTTGTAAAGGAAATGAGTTTGGTCATAATGATTTAGGCCATGCTCTTATCAATCACCTTGTAACATTAGCTTGTATTTTTATGGATGTTCCAAAGCTCCAAGAACTTGCCTCAGACGTGTTGGGTAAAGTTGGCCATATTGAAGATGCTGGTGAAAGAACTGTTACCAACATGTTAGCCATCAATTGTCCATCAGAAACTGCAGATGTATTAATTTCTAGAATTGGATTAATCTTAGATGATCTGGATTGGAAATATCAACGATTAGAAACACTCAAGGACACATTAAGTGATAATTATGAGGACACAAAGAAGAATATTTTCCATCAAACTACTCTCTTTATTGATACTTTGGAGCATTTAATTTGTGCCAAATTGGAAATGGAAATATCTGAAAAGCTCTTTTCTCCACTTATCAAATTCTATACAATGTTAGCTAAGTTTACAGATACCTATCTTTCCCTTCCTAAAGATTCTGGAATTGAGTTATGTGAAGAATATTGTGAATTGGTGGATAGATCTGGTGATTTTACCACCACTTGTTACTCATTCATCAATTATCATAATGAGGAAGAAAAGTCCACCTCAATGAAAATTGTTAGAGAGGCAAGAAATATTCCAGAACTCATCTTTAGAATGGAAACCTCAGAGCAAAAACTCATTCTCCTCTCCAAACATATCAAACAAAACTTGCTCAAGAACTATAAGAGATCCCAAGTTAGAGCTTTTACCATTGACAATCAAAAGGTTATGGAAGCAGCCGAAGAAAAGAAGAAGCGTAAAAAGAAAGATGATGAAGAGGAAGAGCAAATTAAGGAAGAATCAGAGAATGAACAAGAGGAAGAAGAAAAGAGCAGTAAAAAGAAAAAGAAAGCTTCCAAAAAGAGAAAATCACCAACCAGTGAAAAGTCAACCACAAAGAAAAAGAAGAAATAAACATACATTTGAATAATAAAAAAGTTATTAAATAATTTATTGAGATTTATCTTTTGGTGGAGCCAAAACCTTCTTACGTTGGGCAAACATGTACATGTACAATTGAGGGAAACCTGGCAAGTATGAGAACATGACAATCCAGACAAAAATGTAAGAATCAAATGACATATTGTAAGCATTTGGCATGGTCAAACTCATTGGACGATGTTCCTTCAAATAATTCAATCTAAAGTAAGTCAAAGCCAATTCACTTGAAACACCCAATGGATACAAGACAATGAAAGTAGTATAACGCAACCACACAATAAAGTGAGGACAGATATCATAAAGCTTGAAAGCATAGAAACTGTAACGAATAACTTCAGTAACACACCAAGCAATCAAGAGAGTAGTGATGAAGAGAGCTTCAAATTCAGTATATTTAACACTGTGTTCAAGATAGAGGGAAACCCAGACAACAAAAATACGAGAGAAAACTTGCATAAGAGTTGTCATGATTGGAGAACTGACCAATCCGAGAATAGAGTGAAGAATTTCTAACAAGGCCAATGATTGGAAAAATTGCAAAGGACGTTCGATAGTATCATATAAATCAACATTCTTCTTTCCTTCAACGTGGTGCATTCCGACCAAGTAGAGAACATATCCCCAGCCAAGACAGAGTACAATATTGTACAAGAACAAGTAGGCCTTGCCGATTGGTCCTGGACCTCTTGCACGCTTTGGTGCAGCTGTGGTTGTTGCAGCGGTAGCGGTTGTGCTTGACATTTTTTCCTTTAATTTTTTGAGCGCTAAAAATTTGAAGCATCATCACTCTTTGATCATCTTCATGTGTTGATGATAATAATAATCATGAGAACAGAGAGGAATTTTTAGTAAAACTAAAGAAAATCGGAGGAGAATAATGTTGATATTAAATTTTTTTATTTAATAATTTTACAATGAATTTAAGGTAAATTGTAAAATTGAAATTCAAAAGTTTTTGGTAATATCAACCATTGAAAAAAAATGACTCTTTCAGATGGTGTGATTGGTCCACTCGGAGATGATGAGGTTAGAGTGATGGATAAAGCTAGTGATGGTGAATTATTACCAGTGGAAGAGGAGGAGAAAACTAATAACGAGTGTGGAAATGGTAAACATTGGAGTTTGGCACAATTTTTCAATAATCAATTGACTATTGATAAACTTCAGACAGATTACATGCTCGAATATTATACTAATTGCCACAAGATTCATTTGGAGAAAAAGCTGCAACGAAAAGGTTTAGAATTTTCACCAAGTTTTTCCAGAGACGATTTCAACACATTGTTGGACGCTGTTGAAACATTTACAATATCTCAAAGTGATTTTCCAAGAGATCCATCTGAAGAGGATCCACTTTGTATTGGAGAGGAGGGATGGCATATATTGTGTCATTGGATGCAACCTCTTTTTAAAAAACAGGGAAAGAATGCATCTTCACTTGAAGTGGAGCCACAATGTGAAATATGCCAAAAACATGAGAATATTAGGCAAGCTTTTGAGAAATTTAACAATACGAGAGTTCAATTATTTGAAGGAACTTGTCATACTCCACTGAGTGTATTTGAAAAGTTTGTTGATTTGTGGAATCAACAAAAATATTTACAATATTCTCGATTTGAATTGAGTGATCATGGATGTGCCAATATATTTGCAAGTGGACTATTGAATTGTACACTTACTCATTTTGTTTTTGTAAGTATAATGAGATTTTTTAAAAATCAAACAAATTCATGAAGGGAAGAGATTCACAAGGTGAAAATCCACAAGATCCTCATCAATGTGTTTGTATACTGAACGCTCTCGAGCATAACACATCAATTGTTTCAATTGATTTAACTGATCTAATCATTGTTCATGACTCTGTTGCAAAAGCAATTGCTAGCATGCTTAGAAATAAGAAGAGTCTCAAAAGATTGGTCATTTCAAAATTGAGTTTATCCAAGACAATTTACAACACCAGTATTATTGATGCTATAGTAGATTCATCAATAACCCAAATAGAGATTTACACCTATGATGGTAAATTGAATAGCAATTTCAGATTTTTAGAAAATTCGAGTAGAAATGATTTGAAAAAGTTGGCATCCAAACCATTCACCAGTTTTATGTTTATCAGTTATAATTTTACTTTCCCAATTGATTATTGCTATTTATTTGCGGAAATGCTAAACAACAAATCCATAGATTATTTGCATTATAGTATTGACGATATTGATGGAGTTGTCAGATCTGAAGATGATCCAGTTAATGAATATCAGCAATTTATTGACAATCTCTATAGTGTCATTGAGAAAACTGAAGAATTTTATTTCAAAGGTCATTATCTACTCAATTCCACTCCTAAACAGGAGCATCATATTGTTAAACATGGAAAGCGAATAACATCCTATTCACCCTATTTGAAATTCCTACAAGTAGCCACAAATTCAGAAGAAGATGTGAAACTTTCCCAAATAGGATTTTTACGTGTAAAATATTTTATCAATGTTGGATTCCCTCGAATAATTCCATTCTTTAGTAGGGTCGTAAAGACTACACTCAAATTGAGTAAAATGAACGATGAGCGGATGCAAATATTTTCAAAGGCAATTTTGAGTGCTCCACTCTTGGAAAAGCTAATTCTGATTAGAGTTGATAAATTAGGTGTGGAAACCCCATTCTCACAATATTTCAAAGTTCAAAACAATAGCAAGTTGAGAAAGATAATTTTCTCAGGAACAAACAATAATACTCTTATGGATGCATTCTCCACATTTTTGGATTTGAATTATTTCCCTCACCTTACTGCTTTTTATGTACGAGGAAAAGAAGGAGAGATAAGCTTTGAGGCTATTGAAGTATTGATTAATTCGATACAGAGACAAGACCCATTCTATCCTAAAGGTTTAAGAAAGTTAGAACTTTTGGAGGGATCCATTAAAGACGCTCAAAGCACAGAATATATACTGAAATCCCTTACTAGCAATAGACTTTTAGAAACATTGGGTATAACCAAAGCACCTCTCGAAAATATAGATATATTTGTAGATTTCATCATTAATAACAAGTCAGTGACCGAACTCAAACTTAATTACTCAGATTGTGTCACCATACCTGCGGATTTAATGTGTACAGAAGAACAGGTTACACCTCTATTTTTGAAAGTTTTTGGAGCTTTTCAAATCAATTGGACCCTACTTGCAATAGATTGGTACGTTGAATACTATTGGAATACCTTTGAGTTTGGTACAGTGAATTATGTTGGAGAGCGTTTCCTTGTAGAAAGAATAATGAGTAGAAATAAGGCTCAAAAACATATCAACTCTCTCATGCAACCAATCCTTACACAAGTTGACAAGTTTAATCAATTGTCTGATATTACTTTAATTTGCAACAACCAATAAACAATGTGTGTTTACAAATTTTAATCAATAATAAAAAATGAATCCACATATTCGTAGGCAGTCCATCGAGTTGTAGGTATTTTCCGAAATCACCAATAAGTAAACTCTACTCATTTGGATTTACAATTTTTTGTGACAATAAATAGATACAAAAGATTTATTACTATTTTACCACTGTATCCAGGAGAGCAAAGTGTTTCTCTTCTCAAGGAAAGAGTAAAACGAGCATTTAAAGCCAATATTGGAAAAAGTGATTCGGAAATTGAACAAGCATTGGCTAGAGGAAATTATGTTTACAAAGAGGTGGAGGCACTAATTCAATTGAAAAAGTATAGAACATTGGATAAAAGATATTCTAGTCACAGGCAGGAAATGTCTGCTGAACTCTTACAATATTTACAATCAAATGAAAATATCAATTGAACCTAATGTTCATAATCCTGAACTTCTAACCATGCAATTCTTGCTTCAACAAGGTGTCTACCTTTGTATTCAACAAGAGTTTGGAGTTCCTTTCCACCAATCTTCATTAGCAAAATGTTATCCTCCTTTTGAGTCCAAATATTTCTCTTATCATCCTCTGACAAGATTACATTATCATCTAATAAACGAGCAGCCAGTTTGGCATTACCACTACAAGCATAGAGTGAATGAGTGACATATTCGGTTGGCTTAGAAGAAATATATTTAAGGTCTGTAACTAATTTTTGAGCTTTTGTAGTTTCTTCATCATCTGGTGTAGCTGATGAAGAGCCTTCATTGCCTGGTGTTGATTTCTTAGGTGTTGATGACTTTTTTGGTGTCGAACCTTTCTTAGGGGTGGCAGCTTTTGGTGGTTCAGGTTCTTCGATTCTCTCCAATTCTCCTAGTTGTTTTGATCTCCTTTTTGATTCTGCTTCCTCCACTTCCTTGGCAATCTTTTCTTTCAATTCAAAGATAAAATCTTGGTATGGTCTAAAGAAGTCATTATCCTCCTCGTCATGATCCTCAATATCTTTTGGTGTAAATTCAAATTTAGCAGTTCTGTAGAAACGTCTACTGATTCCAGAACTTTGTCCTTGTCTTTCCTGTAAAATATTTGACAACATTGTAAATACTGCCTTGTCGACTACTGATGGAATTTGGCCATCGTAAATATCATTCACAAGACGGAAAATTCTTCGATCCTCCTCTTCAGTGAAATTTTTGGCTCTCTTTCTATCACTTGGTGGTGTTACAATCCTCTCCGAAGTTTCATCACCTTCTCTTGATGGAATTCTGTAGGAAGATGGAGTTGAAATGTAGGTTTTTTTCTTCTTTGGAGTGCCTTGATTATCATCTGCAGAATCTTCTTCTTCTTCTTCCATCATCGTCAATCTGTTGTTTTGCTGTACGTGGTCTCTTGAGATATTCTCTTGCTTCTTCATCCTCAGAGTCCGGAACGATTTGTTGATCATCATCAGCAGCTTGTGTTTGTAATGTTGTTTCTGTACGTGGTGATTTCTTTGGTGTATTACTATTCTTACTTGGAGTATTGTTGCTCTTGCTTGGTGTGTTACTTTTCGAAGAAGAAACAACAGGTTGTGAGTCGACAGGACTCATTTCCTCTTCCAATCGGTCATTTTTATCCCTTTGAAATAATGGTTGACTAAGCTCTGGTGTACTGCCGTTACTGCTAGCAGTAGCACGTGATGGTGAAGATGGTCTTTTTGGTTTCCTTCCTCTAGGCATTTTTTTTAATTTTATTTTTGGAGGGAAAATCTTATCACTATCATTTCCATGGATTCATCAAACCACCAAACTCTACATTGCCCATAAGAGTATTAATAAAATAGACCATTCATAAACCAGTTACAATATTGGGTATTATATTTATTTTGTTTACAGTTATTAATTTTACTTGTATTGCTTTTTATTTATATTTAATAATTAAAAAAATGCCAACCTACTTTCTATTTATTACGGCTGTGCAGGCGTCATCGTCCTTGTGGCTTCAGAATACTTCGGACACATTGAAGAGTTGTAGGTTTTAATAGTTTTTATTCATGTGATTAAAATACAAAAATTTATTCTTGTTTGACAATATTGGATCGGATCTAGATGCAAATAAAATTGCTCACAAAATTCAACAAAATCACAAATTGGAGGAAATTGGAGTTGTTTCATATTGTCAAGATCTTGTGGAGGAATGTTATCCTTCTAAGGATACTAATGAAATTTGTACAAAAATTGAAGAATTAACATTTAGGAATTTTGATTATTCTCCAGATATCATGTCTGGATTAGTATCATGTTTTAAAAAGATTGAAGAAACTCAAGGAATGCACACTCATATACAAATTATAATATTTACCGATTATAATGAATTGAATGAAATGTTCTTCAAAATCAGACCACCATTCCCTGTAAAATTACATGTATTTTCTATGGCCAAATCACACCACGTTTTGAAACATATTCCTATAACAAGTACAATTGAATCAAGCACTGCAACACCATCAGAATCAACAAAGTCATCAGATATTTCTACTAATACCAATAACTTGAAACAATTGACCAAACTTTATACAGGTCATTGTTATTTCTTGATACCTACCACTAAGAATAATATTGACGAATCAATATTGAGTGAATTTATCAAGAAGTGTTATGACAAGTATAGTGGATATTTGGTGTTTGGTCACTTGGTTTCACCAATTGAATTGCATCCTGATCCAAACCTTGTCATGTGGCTTTTGGATAGACAACATGATGGAATCCATCCAAGTGCCTCCATGTTGGAATCTTCTTCATGTTCTGCCAATGAAAGACAATGCCATGTACCACCAATTTTGAATATTGTAGGATTTATTCCAGGTACTGAATTGTCCTCACCAAAATGTATATCAAAACATACCATTCTTCCTCTCAATGCTGATGACAATGAAGTACCTTATGGTGTCAGAATGTCCAGAAGAGATAAGGAAATTCAATTTGGCAAGTTTAAAAAAATTGTCAAGGCAGATGCATGCAAGGCTGATGAAGCACCAGCCAGTTTTTACCAACTTTTACACATGACACTTTCAAAATCTAGATCTTTGGATATTCCACCACCACCTGTAAATAGTGAAATCGAAGAGACTCAAAATCAAAATGAAGCAAAGAGAATTTGTGCCATTGTAAGTCTAGGAGGAATCCCAGAGAGATTTGCCTATGTGACAGCATGTAATGATGGCGAATTGTCCTCTCTTGTCTTGGGTATTTTCAATGAGGAGCTTGAGTTTTCTGTCAGTGAAGAGTATTGTAGAAATATTCCAAAAACTCAACTAGCTCACAACAATTTGGCCTATCCTTGGTTAGAGACCGGTGTCGGTCAAATGGTAGAAGAAATGTCAATAGCCAATGCAAAAGATATAGAAAAGACTGGTGAGCAATTTGATCTCTTTTCCAAGTGTACAAATTTAAAAACCTACAATTATGATCTCAAGCAAACCAAGAATGTAATTGTACCTTTCCAAAAAGTTGAAACATTATCAAATGATTTTGGTAAAATCATTAGAAATATCAAGAACCTTCCAAAGAAGACTGATTTGGTCACTAACGAATGCGAAAAACTGAGATATATCTCCCAAGTCTTTCACAATAGCTCCATTATTGATACTCTCAAGCAATTGTTGGAAGAATCAATTGAGAAGAATAAGGAGAAGGTAAAGACTGAACAATCCACAGAAGCACAAGAACAATTACTCAGATCGAATAGAATTTTGAGAATTATCATTGAGCAATTAGAAAAGAATCCAAAAGCCAAATTGAAACCACCAAAAGGAGAACACTTGTTCGAATCAGTGAGTCAAGAGCTTGCCACTATTAAGCATCAACACTATGAACAAATGCAACACCAAGTTCATCCTCAACAGCAAATGCCAATACATACTGCCCACCATGTTGTTCCTCAACACCATTATATGGTACCAATGCCAGCAGATTCATCCCCACACGTCATGCCACAATATCCATACGCAGCTCAACCATTGCCTTACGAATCAGGTTACCCACTCCCAATCCAACAAGCACCTCAAGTACCTTATCCTTATCATTCACACGCTCATCCTCCACCAACAGCTCACTATGCTCAGTACGATCAACACTACATGGGTCAAGCCAATCAAATACCAATGGATCCTCATCAACAACATGCACCGCCTCACAAGAAGCAAAAACAATAAAGTTTATTTTCAAGTTTTGTGTGAATAAATTCTTGTTTGAGATCTTTTTTGTAACTGGCTCCATCTTTCAAAAATCATCCAACATATTACATGTAAAAGGGATGCTTGGCAACTTAATGAGAGAATCAGTATTTTGTGAGTGATTGCTACAAAATTTCAATTTGAAAAAATTAGTTTTCATAGAATGGAAACATGTTCTGATTGCTTTGGTCTTGATTAGTTTCTTGTCCATTAAATAAAAAATCTTCTAGAGACGAATTGAAAAACAAGTAATTGTCTTCGGAGAAATTACCAGCAGCAAAGGAGGAAAATGATGCAGAACTAGTGAGCCCAGATGAACCTTGAGGAACAACATTGTGATTCATTGTGGAGGCTGTCATGTTTGAATCTTGGGGAGGTTGTGAAGGTGGTTGTTTTTGTCTCATAAATTCTGACATGAGTTGGTTTTGAATCTGGAATGGAACATCCAACTGTCCATACTTTAGGGCTTGCTCATAGAGTGGTAAAAGTTGACCAAAAGGATTATCGCTACCAATGGCATTCACCAATTGATGATTATTTCGTTGTCTTTCTAATATTGTACCGAGGATATCTTGAAGTTTGTCCTCTTCCTTCTTCTTTGATGACATGACCTTGTTGGTGATAACAAAATTACCAGTCAGTGAGGATGAGGATGAAGGATTTGGCATTCCATTATTTCCCATCATTAAATTATTTTGATAATAGCCATTCATAGCTATTCCATTCATATACCCTCCATTATTATTGCTAGGTGATTGATTATTTGATGATGAATTATTTGATGACGATGAAGAGTTTGTACTATTGGGCGTTTGCAAACTTGATCCCAAATGTTGCCCCGATAAAGATGTATTTGTTGATGATGAAACACCACCAAGCATTAGACCATTCTGTCCACCACCACCAACACTACCATTATTACCCACCACCATATGAAGTTGATGATGTAACTGTTGTTGTTGTTGTTGAGCAACGGAGGAGGGAACTTGTTTCATTTTTTCACTCTCTGTTACGAGTAATTGTCTGAGGAGGTAGAGTTGTTCCAATTCTTTTGGAGTGAGAGAAGTATTCGAGTTGCTATTGGTGGAGGTGGTAGTATTGGAGGAGGTTTGGGAGATTGGTGTTGTTGTTGGTGTTGTATTGTTGTTGCAGCTGCTGCTATTATTGTTAGAGGAGTTATTGTTGTTATTATTATTGGAGGAGGTTGGTTGAAAGTGAACAGAGCAATTGGCACCATTGTTATTATTGTTCTGGGGTGAGAGTGTATTGAGGAGGGAAGTAAAGAGCATGGAGGAGGGAACTTGATTAGGTTGTTGTTGGAGAGACATTTGTATGAGTTGATTAATCATTTGTTGATTATTATTAGTATTGGAACCACCACTATTAGCACTGATTGGTGTCAAATTGGAGGATGAATTGTTATTGTTGTTGGGTGTTGTTGTGGTACTCATTTGTTGATTATTATGATTCGGAGGAGAGGATGAATTGTTGTTGGCAGCTCCCATGAGCATCTTCATCATGGTTTGTTGTTGTTGGGGAGTCAAATTAATATTATTATTAGTAGAGGAGGAATTGGATGAGCCTGTTGAGGAGACTGGTGATTGTTGCTGCTGTTGATTCACTACATGGGAAAGAGCCTGTTGAATCCAATGATTGGGTTGTTGATGATGATTCGGAGAGTTTGTTGCATTCGATAGTAACATGCTTGTCAATTGTTGCTGTTGGAGTGCACTCAATGTTGGAGGGTTGTTGTTAGCATTGCTCGGAGAAGAGGAGGATATATTGTTGTTATTGTTATTACTCGACAGCATTGAATTATTATTGGGAGTAGTATTACTTCCTGATTGTTGTTGTTGTTGTTGTTGATTCATCATTAATTGAATCATGGATCCTAGCAATTGTAAGGATGGATTGTTATTATTATTGTTCATCTCTTTTCTACAGAAAACTTGTTAAGAAGAAGGAGGATGAAAATGTAAATACTGATATTAATGTAATGGACAATTGATGATATCTTGTCTCTCTCAAAATTACGAAAAATGTGTTGACTGATTCTTTTTACTTTGGGATATTCTGCCCAATTATGCAATATCTTTGACAATTGACGTTTATGCAAGACAATTCACAGTAATAAATAAACCTATTTTCCACAATCTTGCTCTATTACTCCTCTATTGATTCTTATGTGTTTTGAGGCAATCGAAGAAATGAATGAACAAGCAAATAAGAGGGCAATGAAGTGTTGTGTTTTTTTTGTTCTCCGTAGTTGCGTGGGATTCTCAAACATTTGGATCATACGTTGCATGCAACTTGTTTAACAAGTTCTGAAAAATTCAGATTTTCATATGTGGAAGGATGAGCTGTCTAAGACATGTATGGAGTGATCTTTTTATTGTGATAAGGAAGGAAGATGATGACGTTGTTTCAAATTGAAACATTCATTGTAAAATCAAATAACAAAGAAGAAATGTATTGCAAAGAAGGATAATTATGATGAACTAGCTCTTTTAAAGATGTGAAAATACACCAAACACAAGAGTTGGCAGATAGCAATTAGAGCTTACTAAAATTGTCACACCGAATTGTAACAACCCGTTTCAACGAAAATTTCACTAATCGAATTTTCCAATCAAATATTAACAATTAGTCCTCAAACTCTACTAATCCATCTTCTCACATTATTGACCTCAATCATGACAAAACCATACCTTCCACCAGCTGGCATAAAAATCACTATAAAAGGTCATGATCATAAATTAACCACAAAATAAACATCCACATCGCTCCACTCGTTTAAACAACACAAAAAAAATTGACAACACAACTATTGCACACAGTATCTGTTTACTGCATTCAACATTGTTATCATCGATCATCTTTTTTGAAAATATGATCTTTAGACAACTCTTCTCTGCTGATACATGCACTTATACATTCATTTTGGGATGTGAAGAGACTGGACAGGCTGCTCTCATTGATTCAGTCTATGAAGAATTGGCCAGAGATGCCAAATTGGTTAAGGAATTGGGACTCACTGTTACTCATTTACTTGAAACTCATGTTCATGCTGATCATGTAACTGGTGGTTTGGAGATGAGGAAACAACACTTTCCACAAGCTACTCAAGTATATAGCATTCATTCGGGAGTTAATTTCAGTGAAGGATTGACTTTGGTCAAGGAGGGAGACGTTATTCAAGTTGGTTCCTCTGTAAAGCTTCGTGTGTTGGAAACTCCTGGACACACCAATGGTTGTCTCACTTTTTTCACTGAAGATAAGACAAGGGTCTTTACTGGAGATGCCTTATTCATTAGAGGATGTGGAAGATGTGATTTCCAACAAGGAAGTGCCTCCAAATTGTACGATTCCATCATGAAGATTTATTCAACCTTACCTGATGAGTGTATTGTCTATCCTGGACATGATTATAAGGGAATGATTTCATCAACTATTGGTGATGAGAAGAAGAATAATCCGAGAATATTTGCCACTCAAACTCGTGAGGGATTTAGTGAAATTATGAATAATTTGAAATTGCCAAATCCTAAATATATTGATATTGCCTTACCTGCTAACTTGTTGGGTGGTGTCAAGAAGACTAACTAGATTTGAAAATTTATTCTTTGTATATTTTAGTAAAAAAAGTATTGTAATAACTACAACTGTATTAATTGAAAATTTGAAAAGTTATTCTGTGTAATCAATCCGTTTAATTAAAGTAAATACAATTATCACACATTTTCTTTTCTGGTTGATTCTTTGAAATTTCCTCATCCATACATTTTGTACATCTTTTGAGAACTGATCCAACCCGATTGACCTTTCTATCTTCATACAATTCTTCTAGACACAACTTGCAGGCATACATTTTCATTTGAGAATTACCTTTCAAGAAAACTTCCCTCAACTCAGATCTTGGTTGTAAACAATAATCACAAACCATTACTTTGGATTTGCTTGTTTCATGAAGTTGTGAATTATCTTTTTGATTACATTGAATGCACATGTATTTGGAACAACTCTTACACCAAAATCTTGCAATTCCACCACAATCACCACATAATAGATATTTAGGACCTTGATTTTCTTTTTTAGGTTGTGGTTTTGGAAGAGGTTTCTTTCTTACTATGTTTCTATTCGAATGAGTAGGAGTCTCCTCTTCAATGATGTCACTATTTGAAACTCTTTCAGTTTTCATTTGATTATTTCTTGAAGATGATTCAGAGGATGATTGTGGAAGGGATGGAAGTGGTTTGTTGCCAATAACATTTCTTCCATTCAATCGATTTCTTGAGGCTCCAATATTTTGTAATTTCACATCAACTTGATTATTGAACGATTCTTCTTTGAATCTTGCTAAGGTTGGACGAGAAGGTAATGTTTTTTTTTCTGGAATATTTCTAACGGCGTTTTCAACAATGGTAATTCGTGCTTCTCTTTTTGGAACATTGGATTCATTTCTCTTTTTGGACAATGGCTTGGATTCAGAATCGGATGAGTCATTGTTACTGGAATCATCTTCATAGCTATCATCTTCCTCACTTCCACTTTCATCGCTTGTTTCCTCATTATTCGAATCACTTTCGTCTGTTTCACTTCCACTCCTTTCGCTACTATTGTTCTCACTATCCAACAACTCATCTGCATCATCAAATCCCTTCTCCCTCAATGGTGGTGGTAGGAATTGTTTCAAATACTCCTCCATATCTTTCTTCTCCTTCAAATATTGTTTTACCTTCTCCTTTCTCTTTCGATTAATTCTCCTTGCCACACAAAACCTAATCACCACCAACAAGACAACATATCCAATAGCCACAACACCTGAAACAATTGGAAACCACAAATAATTCGGATAGGTCAAAAACCATTCCACAAACGGATTGAAAACCTGATACAAAACAGATGCCTTCTTCTTTTCTTCATTTTCTTTCAGATTTTCTTGTTTCTTTGCAAGATTTTCATTAAAAACTTTTTGTTTTTCAATAAAAGACAATTGAGCTTCAGAATAGGTCCTTTCATAATAGTAGGAAATAATTGGACCAGGTAATCTTTGAAAATTTGGACCATAGGAGAAGGTTTTCACATGGAGTGGAGGTCCAAATATGTATAATTGCTTTTCATCGTATTCGAGACAGGTCATGTTGGATTCTTCTCTTCCATAACAGAGAATGACAATACTTGTCTTGGTTTTGTAGGGTTGTAAAAGTCGAAGTTGGAAGGGAGAATCGAATTGGTGATCGGTTGGTTTGGGTTTGATGAGTGGTTGTAAATCTCTTTCTCTAATGTGAAATGTTATTTTTGAGAGAAGTCCAGCTCTGTGTCCATCACAATCGGTGGACATGGACAAATCATAGTCACCGGTAATATTGGCTTGATAGGTAAATTGTTTCAATTCTTCCAGATTCATTGCATAACTCCACACAACTTTGGTCTGATTGAAAACTAGCTTAATATTGTAAACATAATCCATTGGACTTGTTTCATTATTATGAAATTCATCGAATTGAAATTCTATAGGACTAAATGAAATCTTCATCTCCCCGACTGGATAATACATTTGTGAGAGGATGGTCGATTCCAATTCCTTATAACTTCCCATCGAATTGAAAAAGTGAAATTCAGCACTTGGTGGCGAGAGTGAAGATTTCGCCAAGACACACGTTTCGTATTTGGTACTGTAAATATAATCAGGGAGGCATTGACAATCCTTGATGGATTTTCTTGGAAGGAGACTTCCTGTAGTTGTTTCCATTGGACATGCTTGACATTTACTTGTGTCCTTATTGAAGAATCGACCGAATGGACATAGACACGTGGATGTCGATGGCTCCTGAATCATTTTAGAATCTGGACATGATAAAGTCAAGCATTTGCCGTTTCCATAGAGAACTGAAGTTTCGAATGAGCAAGTTTGGGGTGTGAAATAGTTTTGATTGAGTATTTGATTTCCAAGTAGGGAATTGTAGAGTTTGAAATTGGAAATCATTCCTGGGAAGAACATGGTTGGAGTTGGGCTGAGAAAGTTGACTAAACCTCCAATAACTAAAGAGCTAGATGAAGATTGACTAAGGGAAAAGTAACAAGTACCAATTACTGAATTATCTCTGAAAAGAGTTAGTATCTTGTTTAGTTCATCATATTGTAAAGTAAATAAATGCCAATCTGTATCGTGGGCGAAACTTGTCGAAATGAGAAATGTTTCTGTTGAATTAATCTTTTTAACTTGCATATAAACTGACTTGTAGGGAGATGCTGCTGAGAATGAATCTAAATTCATTTGGAAAATCCAATCAGAGAATGAAACTATTCCATAGCCAATTTTGTAATTCTTCAAAATAAAATCAAATTGATTGAAATCGGCAAGTTTCAGATGCATTGAAATTGTGAAAGAAGATTCGAATGAATGTTTCGTATAGACATTTGGAATGGATAAGAGTTTTTTCAGGGCCACCTGACATGAATTTTCTGAGCCTTGATTTCCACTTGAAATTATTGTTAAATGTTCTTGTTGTAAACTTTCGTCTAAAATACCAAATGAATTTCCTTTCAAGGTACATGGAGCCAACACTTCACCTCCAGAATCTTTCGAATAATATCCAATAGGAATAGGTTGACATGAATTTCCAACTCTATACCTTTTGCCATCTTTACATTTGAAAGCACAATTTTCAGAACTTTCTCCCGATTGAGTATAAATCACCTGATTAATTGGTCCATTATTACAGACATACAATAATCCATCACCTGGCGAATAATTTCCAGGACTACATAATTTACAATTTGGTCCATATCTTCCCTTCTCACAGTTATAAGTTGTGGTTGTCCTTGAAGTTCTCAATTTACTTGTTTTACCATTGATTGTGAAAGAGTTTGTTGATGGTTGGTTAATGAGGATTGAATTGATGGATCTTGAAGAGGATTCTGTTGTTATCAAGCTGTTAAAGATGTTCTTGTAATCTCCTTCAATATTCGAATCTCTTGTCCATGAAAGTGAGTTAATTGCTTGTATGACATCAAATGTTGAAGTTTGTAATTGAGAATCAGAGTGAAAGATTGAGCCGGGTTTGTTTTTCAATGTGGGATCATAGATTTGAACTTCAATTGCATCTGGAGTGAGTACAAGTGTTTTACTTGCGTTTTGTGAATTACTTGATAGGGAATAGCCAAAAGAAATGGTCAATTGTGGATCAGGCATTGTGAAATAAGAAATTGTTTCTTGATAAAATTCATTCAAGAAATCAAATTCAGATTCTTGAATAATTGCGTCACCCTGAATGAATAGAGTTGCTAATTGCTCTGTCACTTGTCCATTGAGTGTGAATTTGTTTTCAACAATTTCCATCAGTTGACTAACAATAGAGTTGTGTCTATCGATAAATTCAATGGATCCACAAAACGAAGCTACCAAATCAAATGTCTTTCCTCCAGCACCTTCACTAATCACATCATTTTTCAAAGTATGAAAACATGACTTGGAATTATATGTGAAAGTTAATGTTGAATTGACCAGGTTATATCTTCCAGAATTGATAAATGTTTTCAACTTGGAGAATGCCAAACTCGTATCTTCATTCAAATTATAATAAATGTCAAATTGATTCACATATTGATTCAATGCATCTCTATATCTTTTTACAATTTCATTGAAAATTGTTTGTAAACTTCTCAATTCCAATTTGAATGCAAGAACTTTATCAGCAAACATGTCAGCATCCATTCCAGCATCTCTTCCCCAAATTACAATAGTTTCTAAATGTTGAGATAGGATGAATAATCTCTTTTCCTGAAGCAACATTTGTATCAAGTCTGATTTTAAAGTTGAGACAAGAGACAAGTGATAGAACATATTTCTTGTAGGGAGGAGAGTCAGCAAACTATTACTTGCGCAATTGGTAAAGAAAGTTCCCATTGGATATATACAAGAATCGGTATTCTGCAAATTGAGATAACATCTATAGGTGGATGACCAATGTCCAATTAAATTTCCATTGGCATCCCTTAGATAGCCAACTAAATGTTCGAGATTTGCCAATTTAATTCGATCATAGAATTGAGAGGGTGTTCCACAAACATAGGTTGCTCCAGATTGATAACTGGTCGATGAATAGGGAACAGTTGGGGTGATATTCTTCATAAGTTGTGGAATACTCAAATCAATAGATCTGGCCTCAAGTTGTGAGAGGAGAAGATTTGTAATCTTGTTGATGATTTTATTTTCAACAGTGGAGAGGGAGTTACCATCGTCCTGGAATGAAAATGTACAGAGAAGAAGTGTTACTAAGAGAAGGAGTGTGAGTGATGGTGTTGAAAGGTAAATTGTATTTTTCATTTTTTTTAATCTAAGCAATTAAGGTAAATTCCTAATTTGGATGAAGAGTTTGCATATAATTTTTGTTGGATTCTTAATAATATGGAAATATTCTAACGATAAAATTAATAATAGTGGTCTTAGTTTATTTATATACAAAGAATTATTGCTGCTCTTGTTGTCCTTTAAGTGCAACATCCAGAATGGCTTGAAGCTTGTCAACTTCACATTGTGCAACAGTTTTGAGAGATCCGTTTTCTGTTTTTTTGCCAGCAGTGTTTCCACTGTCTTTATCCTTATTTTCTGGAGGTCGTCTAAGATTTGGAGAAAGCTTTAATGTCTGTACGAGACCCTTGTCATCACCAACCAAAAGACAGAAGCTCATCTTGTGTAAAGCTTCAACAGCTTTTTGTTGAGCTTGTGGGTTCTTACTGTCAAAGAAGGAACTGTCATACAGATAATCAGCTGAAGTAATCGGATTGAATTGAACGTGGGTAAGTTTGGCCTTTTTCACAATCAACGAACAAGCATCTGTAAGAGAGTCTCTCTTGTTAATACTTAAATCATAAACTTGAACTCTACCGTCATCAGTGACAGCTGCAAAAATAGTGGAAGAGTATGGAGCCCAATCGACACCGCCAACACCACTGCCTAGATCGAATGTCATTAATGGTTGAGCATGATTCATATCCCAGAGTTTGACATTCCAGTCAGCACTAGCTGAAAGGAAAACGTTAGAGTGGAAATGATTCCACTTGACACTATACACATTCATGTGGTGACCTTCATATGTTCTGAGATATTGAGAGTTGTAAGCTTTGGAGCATAAGTGAATTTTACCTTCCTCAGTACCAACAACAAACAAGTGTGGATGTTTTGGATTAAAGTCAAAGCAGGTACCACCAGAATAGGCTACCAAAAAGTCTTCCGTAATCTTTGAAGGATTCATTTGTGTGAAAGACGCATTTGTTGAGAAGGATTTTTCTCCATCAAAAGTTGCTGACAGAGCTTCAACTTTCAAATGCATAATGTCGGTATATTGCAATTCATTCTTTGAAAGAGTCCAATTAGTAACTCTACCGTCACTACTGACAGAGAATACTGAAAGAGATGATGAAAGACTTTCAGTTTCCCACTTGAGTTGCCACACAACACCATTGTGTTTACCATTTTTAACTGTTGAATAGATGAGTGGCTTTGTATCCTTTTGTCTAATATCGAAAATCATACAAGTACCATCATATAAACCAACAGCAAGAAGAGATGGATGTTTAGGATGGAAATCCAAACACATTGCGCCTGATTCAGTATGGAAAGAATATTCTGGAACACCTGGATTTTTCAATGTATAGATACAGACCAAACCACCTGCTTGTTTCAAAAAGTTGTAACTACCATAACTGACTGCAAATAGATCAGAATATTTAGGATTCCAACAAACACCAGTGACAGACATTTTCTTCTTTTCTGGATAAGGGAATCTCCAAAGTGGCAAGAGAGAACCTTCAGTTCTTCTCTTTTTATCTTCCACAACATCATCCGAAGGATCATCCCAGTATTTGTAATCGTGAAGAATTTCTTCCATAGAATTTTGATTTAGCATTCTTTCCATAAGTTTTAAGGTTGAGCTCATTTCCTTTGTGTGAATAATTTCTTGAGGTGTCTTGGCTCTAAGAGGCTTCTTTGATTTTCCTGATGATTTTCCGCTTTGTTTCTTTAATTCTTCAAAGTGCTGTTGATAGAAATCATGAATTTCCCATTGTGTAGCTGTAATTTCGAAAAGTTCTGCTGCTGGAGGTTCTGTCATGATTTCCATTTCCTTCATTGGATAGTTGAATGTTTGTACTTCTCTGTCGGAATAGTTGAATTGATTTCTCAAAACATCCTTCTTTTGTAAAATATCTTCAGCCCCCATACCGTCAGTTTCCACATCGGCTTGTTCTTTGAGCTTCTTTTTTAATAATTCTCTTCTTAGTTCATTTTCTTCCTTTTGAAGTTTTGCTTCGGTACCATCTTTCAAAATAAGGAAACTATTTAAATTTCAATAACAACAATTTTCTTAAAAACACATACCCATCATCGGCAAAGTGGAAAGCTGCTTGTTCCACCGTGTGATCGAATTTAAATGTTCTATCTTCGTGGTTAAATCTTACAATATTTTCTGGAGCATTAGGATTTGTTCCTTCCAAAATTCTATCAACTTCCTGATTTAATTCCTCTTCACTAAGAGCTATTTGATCATCAATTTTATGGACTTTCTTACTTAATTGTCCTCCAAAATGAGATGAAGGTGGTTCATCAAAACTTCCTTGAGCCTCAGGTCTTCTTCCAACATTTGCATTAGCAGCTTTATCATTGCTTGGAATGGTCTTTTTAGCTGCTTGTGGGGCTGTTGCTTTTTTCATTTTTTTTGAATTGTATTTTAATGTAGATATTGCAGTCTGATTTTGGCGGGCTTTGTATTTCAACCTCCACTAACATTATTTATAATATCGTATCAGTTTTACTGAAAATACAAATTGCTATTATCGATTAACGAAAAAAGAGTAATTCAATCTCAAAGAACCATTTTTTGAAATATCTTACAATAAACAGTATCATGAACCAATTGGCTGTTTTTCATTATTGAACCCATGATTACAAACAGCTTCCTATCCACAATTAGATATTTGAACAAAAGGAGTCTTGTGATGAAGAAAAATTAGCGAAAAAATTAACTTGAAGTTGATCTTTTGTTGCTCATCAACACAATCCTCCCTTACCCTGAAGGCGCTTCTTCATCAAGAGTCGAAATTCTCTCTCTATCATAATAGGAGGAACATCATAATTATCAATTTATTAAAAACCTAGTACATTCCCAATAGTATCACCGCCACCGATTTTTATCATCAACACAGACGAAAAATATACTTTGATTTTTTGAGCGTTGTCATCATCATATAATTGTATCATCACACAAGAACCACCAATCTCTCTCCATTAATGAAAGAAAATTCCTATCAAGCCATCACCTTCTCCTTCTCTTCCTATTCAAACAACTTCTTTTTCAACAATAACAATAATTTTCGATTTTTCAACAGATCCTCATCATCACAACAATATTAATCAACACATTTTCCGTACTCCTCCTTTGTCATTATGAATTACTTTGGTAGTAGTAGAAATTCTGGAAATATTAAACTTAGTTCTAGCCAACAAAGTACTTCAAGCGTACTCAGCACTCAATCAAATCAAAGCGCAACAAGTAGCTTTTCAACAACTACATTTGCCAGTAGTATTAGTAGTTCAAGCACAGTAGGCTTACCAAACTATACTCAACCATCAAGAACATCACCAGAAGAAATGGAAGACAGAAATGAGATTCTCAATGCTGAGCCACATATTCTATGTTCCAATAGTATTAATATTAGTCCAAATCCACTTGAAAAGAAAGCTGGAGGTTCGGGACTTAATGCACTCAGTGCCTCTCCAGATTCTAGATTAATTGCTGTTGGTGGTAGAAAATTGTTCAGAATTGTTAGAGCTTCTTTTCAGGAAGATGAGAAAAAGTTCAAACTTGATATTCCCATCACAATTTATTATTCTGGTAAGAAGAGTATGGATTTTGCTGTTGTAGATCTGAAATGGCATCCAACTTTACCTAATGTCATTGCGACTGCCCCTCCAAATGGTAAGGTAATTTTGTGGAATGTAAATAGTAGCTCAAAAAGTGGTAAAATCATTACCAGATTTAATGGTCACGAATGTACAGTCAACTCACTTTGTTGGCAACCACACCAAGAAAATCTTTTACTTAGTGCGAGTGTAGATCATACCTGTCGTTTGTGGGATAAGAGACAAGGTGGTGATTCAGTTCATACATTTAATTGTGGAAGTGTTGTAAGAAGTATCAAATTTAACACATTTTTCCCAAATGTATTTGCTGCAGCAACAGATGGAGGTGACTTCCAAGTTTGGGACATTCGTAAACCTAATCTGTATCAAAAGAAAATTCCTGCTCACAATGGTCTAATTTTATCACTAGATTGGCATCCAAAGAAGGGTGGGTTTATTGCAACAGGAGGTAGAGATCGTGTCATTAAGGTATGGGATTTGAATGACACAAAGAAACCAATCTCTACAGTTCAAACTATTGCTAGTATAGCCAAGATTGCCTGGAGACCTGGTAATTATAACTATCATTTGGCCAGTTGTGCTAAGAATGATGTTGGCTCAACTAGTAATATCAATTTGTGGGATATCAGTTCAAGATATGTACCACTTTTGAGTTTTACTGGGCAACGTGCTGATGTCACAGATATTGCCTGGATGAATAATTATCCAAATTTAATGATGAGTTGCTCTAAGGATAATACTTTCATGATTCACAGTGTGTATGAAGCTGAATATGAAAAGGCTTCCCTTCCAACAAGTGCTCTCTCTTGGAATATTAATAATGAACTAGTGCACGCCAATGACGAAATTGATAGACAACAACACGAACGATATCAAACCATCTTACAAACAGTTGCAACTAATCCACCATCAGTTATCAAGCAAATCAATAGAGAGACTGAAATGTTTACTTTCAAAGAAGCACACATTGACAAATCAATCAATATCAGCAAGAATATTACTCAAGATAATGATTTATTTGCCGAATCAGATGTTTCCAATGTCAAGTACCTTGCTGAGAATTATGATCTCTTCAGTGATGACACCTACCAAGTTAAGTGTGACAGAAATGCCTTTGTTGCCTCTTCTATTAATAATTACAAATTGGAAAAACTATGGAAATTGGTCAAGGATCTTCACACCCCTTCCACAACTAAGAATGAGGAACCAGAAATTTTGGAAGATAATATTGTTTCAGCCAGTGAAAACACTACCATCCATTCCAACATTTTTGAAGACTCTAATTCTCTCATTTTCCAATCTGAAGAAGGAGACGACACCTCTGAAGAAAAATACAGTCGCTCCAATTCATTCGACAATTACCCTTCTAACCATATGCTCTACTCACCTCTTAAAACTCCTAGCTCTTTCCACAATGATACCCTCAATTTATCAACTCCTCCTACAAACAACAGCATTCGAAAGAAGGCAAGAGATGCTATTTCTCAAGATTTCCCACAACCACCAAAACTAACTCTATTTACTACTGGCGAAGAAGAAAAACTCAAATCTAATATTCAATCATTTGATGATATGGAAAAACAACATGTATCCATTGCCAAAGAAGCCCACTCATCCAGTTTGTCCTTTGAAGATGATGACGAACTGGAAAGTCTGTACGAGTCTTCTATTCAGGAAACAATTGAATATTATGCAGAGATGGGTGACATTCAAACTTGTGTATCACTTATTGAAGTACTTGATAAGAAACAAAATATGAGTGGAGAAAGAGAGGCTCAATGGTATTTGAGTTATATTGAACTTTTGAATAGACACAAACTGTTTACATGTGCTAACGAGTTGATCAATGGGTGTACAAATTACGAGGTACACCACCTGAACAAGCAATCAACCTCTATTAGAACTAGCTGCGGAAAGTGTGACAGTCTTTTACAAAATACAGACACTACATGTAAGAAATGCTCAACCAGAACGAATATGTGTGTAATTTGTCACTTGCCAGTGGACGGTCTGTTTTACTGGTGTCAAAGATGTGGCAATGGAGGACATCTCAATCATATGTGTGAATGGTTTGCCAAATACAAACACTGTCCAGTTTGTCTCAGTCACGTTAGCAAACTCCAAACTCTTACCTAAATTATTAAACTTTACCTTTTATTATCTTTTATTATTTCACAAATCTTACCCAAGTTTAAATATCTGGTGAGTAATAAATTGCATCAGATTTTGTGAGAGGAATATGAAGCTCTGTTGGGGAGGATGACAATGGCACCTCTTCAACAGATTTTGGAATAATTGTGTGTGATTGCAAATCTTCTTGTTCTTGTTCTGTGAGGTTTGTTCCATCTTTGAATACCTTTTGTGTGAGTAAATGGAGAGCATACACATACACTTCATCTCTGGCTCTCTTTCCCCAAACAAAGTCATTATGCTTAAAACCAATAATCTTTTTTGAATATACAAGTGAATATTGAAGCCCCTCCATTAAGAATTCCTCAATATCTGAAGGATTAGCCAAGTAATCAAGAGTGCCATAGAAAACAGCAATTGGTACATCAATTATCTTTTTAAGATCGTACTTTTCAACTTTTGGGGGTGTAGAATTCTTGGCAGAGCTTGCTGGATAAGTAAATGATTGGAATGATTCAGACTTGATCAATTGACCCCAGTGAATTAAATTTTGGAGAGAAGTTGGAGAAGGTTCATATTTTGATAGGATTGGTAAAATTGCATGATCAATATCACAATCTGACAAAACTGTCCATGCTTCATTGAATAAACTCTGAGTAAGCTTTGGTAAAACAGATCTACTGACTGTTTTGTTTCAACAATGAATTATTATGGAGCAATGTTAAAAATTACAATCTAAAAGAAAAACTTACGTTGTGTAGCACCAATTTCTCCAATACCTATTCCTTCCAGGGTTGAGAATAACATCTCCGTATTCATCTTGGTAACCATGGCTAACAATTTGCTTTGTTGATGCTTGAGACTACACACAGGTGCCAAAGCAATGAACATGTCCAATTTCTTTTGTAACTCTGGGAATAATGTCAAGGCAACAAACGCTTGTGTAGTTCCTTGAGAATGGCCAACATAGGATAATTTCTCTACTTGAGTGAACTTGAGTACGTATTTAATTTGGGCTGGGAAATCAAATTTTGCCATTTCAGTAAATGAGAATTTCCAAAATTCCTTGTCTGTAAAGCTATTCCATGAAATGTGTTTTCTACTAAATTGAACGCCTCTATTATTTCCAAGCCAAACATCAAAACCTGCATCTGCGAGCATGAATGCAAAGCTATATTTTTGGCCTCCAATAAGCCAAGCAGAGCTAGAATTGAAAACGCCATGTTGTAAGAATACTACAGGTCTCTTCTTTTTCTTTCTTCTTTCCAATTCGTCCTCTAATAAAATTTCATCCTTGAAAAGCATGAGGGAATTCAAATTTCCATGAGGAATTCTGTGAATTTGCAACACGTATCCATCACTGGTAACGGTTTCGTGTTTTTCAATTGGATATCCTTGTTGTCTTACAAAATCAAAAATTGATTCTTGCTCTTGGTCGTGAGACGTCAACTTAATTTTGTCTGATTTCTTATTTGGTTGTGACTCTTTAAATTTCTGTGGTGCACTCATAAGAATATCATGTGCAAGTTTGGTACTGTTATTTGGTGCTTGAATCAGTTCCCAGTCACTAAGGTTGCTTCTTTCATCTTCCATAATTAAGAGAGAATCTCTCAATTCCATTCCACTCAATCCATTGGATACTTCGTTTAATAGGGTCTTTTCTCGTTCACCTTTTTTAATTCTATCATCAACCTCAAGTAGGAGTGCAGTTGGCATGTGTTGATGAATAAGTTTACAAAAGTCTTTGTTTGACTCTCCATACTCTTCTCTTGCAGTTTGGTAGGCTACTCTTCCACTACCATCTCTCAACTTGAGAACACGATCCAAAATTTCCAAACTCTTGTACTGATCGATGAGCATTCTACAAATTTCCGTATTGCCTGTTTGGGCACAGAGATGGAATGGGGTTCTTCCCTCCTTATCTGCATGGAGGAGCATGTCTATCATTTTATCCTCATCAACTAGTAAGAGCAAATGCGGCAATAACTCAATCGAACCAGATTTGACACAAATGTGAAAAACATTTTCATTGAAAATGGTTGTCAAATAGAGGTCACTTCCAAGATCCACCAAAGTTTGAATAGTTTCTTGGGATGATTTTGCCAATATGGCACAAAATAGTGGGGTATACTTTTCATCATTCAATTCGTCAATATTAATCTTCATTTCCATTTCCTTCTCAGGTTCCTTCTTTTTAAAGAGAGAAAGGAAGGATACTTTCTCTGGACTAGAAGGAATTACTTTTTTAATTTCATCAGTCCATGTGGCCATCTTGTCATAATAATATGACAAGTATTCTGATGAAATTGATTTTTTTTGTACAGATTCTTCCTTCTTGACAAGTGCATCTGAAACAGTTTCAAGAGTTGAAGCAGAAACCACTTCGACAGGCATAGCCACTTGTTTAAACTTGAGAATATGATACTCATCCTTCAAGAGTGTTAAAATACATTGTATAATTTGATAATTTCCAGTTTTACAAGCCAAATGCAAAATGGTATCATTATTCCTCGATGTTTTGATGAGTAACATTTTACGAATAACAGAATCAGGAATATAATTATTTCCCTCTGTCAAATAATTGATCATTTCCAAATCTTGTCTCATCACTGAAACGTGAATAATAGAACATTTTCCAAGTATTGTATAATTAATTTTCTTATTCGTTAATAACAATTGTAAAATTGATTTAAACGATTCACTATTAGTAGTTTCCTCTTTCAATGACTGATGCAATTTCCTCGAGAGTAAATCATCAAGCAATTTAATATTTCCCTGTTTTACAGCATTATTCAGAGTCATACCAAATCGATGATCATCCTTGATATACTCATCTAATGCTGTTCCGATATTATTTACATCTTCCTCTCCTCCCAATAGAAGAGTTTCATCAGTCATTCTATCATCCTCATCAACTACCAATTCATCAGTAGTATTTGTTGTATTGGTGGTATTGTTATTAGTTCTTCTCCAAGAAGGGATCATTCTCTTAAAAAACAACCGCCACTATTGTGGTGAGCAAGCAGTGTAGAAAGTTTTTTTGTTTGATGGCATGTTCATCATTTGAATGTTCAACCCAAAATAATTTTCAGTGTTTGATGATGTAATACAAATGAAAAAGAGAGTGGAGATCCCCGTACCTCTTCCATGCTAAAGAAGCGCTCTACCATGTGAGCTACATCCCCTTACATTCATTATGAAAAAACGCTGTTAATGAATGTTTCAGAAAATTGTTAAATAAAGGTTCTATCCTTGCACATCTATGGTAATTTTAGTCTCAGAATTTTTGCATTTGAGCCGTAAAGCGTTTTAAGGGTTTTAAAATTTCCATTTCTAATAAATTCGGCGACCATCACCCAAACTCAATCAAGTTGTGTAATCCATAATATTTCGAATAGATTCACACTCTATAATACATACACCTTGCCTCATACTTCCTCATCTTATCATATTTTACACAGTACATTCAATTCCAACCAACATGAATTAATCCAAACTAATCTTCCATCACACCACAATTCTTACCTCAAATATTAATATTTCATTCCTTCGTACATTTATCCCAACACTGGTCCAGAAATGGATTTTCCCTCCACAATAAAAATCAACCAACATCAAAACCCAGCAGTGGAATATTCTGCGCTTCTTTTTGCATCTGAAAAAAAACAAACAACAACACTTTGCATCCCCTCCAGATTATACTTCTCCCACCAACACAGAAAGGAGTAGTTCTCAACTCTTACCACACACAACAACAACAAGATTGATCCCTAAATTAATAATTTTAAAGAGTTTGTGATACAAAAAAAGTTTAGCAAGAAAATAATGGGAAGAAAGAAAAAGCAGGTTACTCTAATTGATTTGGAGTGTTATACGTTTTGTTATGAATTGATTTATTCCGATAAGGATACTAGGGATTGTTTCTTTGATTATTTGATAACCACTCATAATGAAGGTAAATAGTTTCGAATAGTATAATATTTATTTATCATACGAATTTATTCATTAATAGAGGCCATTTACTTTATTCAAAAAGTACAACAATTTAAAAAGAAGGATTTGACCAATAACAAGAAGGCCAAACTTGCAATTGAAATATTTAATTGTTATTTGAAAGATGGTGGAAAATACGAATTGAATTTATCATCAAAAGATAGACAACACATCAAGGAAGAGTACGAAAAGGTTGGACAGTTGGATAATTGCGAAACCTGTCTTCTTTCCGATAATATATTTACTGCTCTGGAGCAGCAAATTCACTTGAGTTTGAAAGAAGCTAATTTTCCACATTTCATCAAATCTCCTAAATTCAGAGAGCTTGCCATGAAGCAAACAACAGATTTCCTGGATAAGATTGGTTTTAGAATGAATGCTAAAAAGATTGATATTATTCAAAGATTACTGGGTTCTTCATCATCTATAATTGCATCACCTTCAACACAAAGTTTGGCAAGTCTTGATGGTTCAATGGACTCTTTTAGATTGAGTGAAAGTCTCACAGGTCCAATTATTGATCCAAATGCCTTCCTCAGAGGAGAATCATCAAATGGTTGGAAATTATTGGACAAACATTCACATATTACTGTGGAAGATTTCAGATTTATGGCATGCAAGGTTTTCGAAAAGGATTCCAAAGCTCAAGACATGAGCAAATTCTTCCAAAATTTGGTTGGTGATCCATCTGCAGATAGCACATCAAGAAGACAATCAGCTCCAAACTTGGCAAGTAAATCTGCATCCTATTCAGAGAGATCAATGTCTCTCTCAGTCAACAACTCTCCAAGTCTCCAACGATACAATAGCGAAAATAATAATGTGAGAAAAATTTCAATAGATTCATCTAGTAATGTGACGGAATATTTTGAGGATATGTGGACAAAGAGTGAGAAGAAGACATCCAATTACACACTGTATAGTTATGATTTGAAAACTTCAATGTTCGACGAGGCAGATACTGATGTTATGGAATCACTGAAAAATATTCACATATTCAAGACTGAAGTGGAATATCCTTACAATGTAGATTTTGTTGTGGAAACATTCGCCAGATCACAGTATAGAATTGATTTTGACAATATGTTGAAAGAATCATTTTCTCTCGATTTTATGCACGTTCATCAACCTCCAAGTGAGGGTGAGGTTAGACGTGAGGAAGTTTCGAGTAGCATGTTACAAGAGGTTTGGCGATTTTCCTACTCACTTCTCAATCTCAAAGATAGAAGTTTCATTGTCGAGTCGAGTCTCATGTACGATGAGCAGAATAGAGCTTATTTACTATTGAAAAAATCAGTAGATAATGTCATTATTGATGATAGTGATTGTGTCAGAGGTCGTCTCTTGCAATTAATGGTATTTGAGAGAAAGGAGAAGGAAAAGACAATCATGACAGATTTTGTAGTTTTGGATATGAAGGACAGTGTAAATAATATAATTTTTGAGAATTGTGTTGCCAAGAGAGCAAAAGAGTTTTACGATAAGGGAATGTCTGCTCTAAAAGCAAACATGGAACTCATCAAACATAACTTCCCAACACCAAGCGATAGCGACCGTATTTTGGAAACACTTGTCAATAATAACAAGTGTGGATATTGTAAACTAGGATTCAAACTGAGGACGAATAATAATTCTGATCTAGATGACCTGGACGATTTGTAAAATAATAATTAAAATAATTTATGATTAAGTGTACCATGACCGGTTTGATTTTGACTTGGATTGAATCCTCTCACAATAGCATTCAAAACATAGAGTTTAGATCTACGTACAGCATCTTCCAATGTGGAGCCAAGAGCAAGATTGGATGCAATGGCAGCAGCTAAAGAACAGCCAGTACCGTGAGTATTGTTTGATTGAATGAAATTGGCGTGAAGAGAAACAAATCTGTCAGCCTCACTTTCATATAAAATATCAACTGCATATTCTGAATTAATCAAGTGGCCTCCCTTAACAAGGACATTTCTAATACCAAATGTTTCTGAAATTGTCTTGGCAGCCTTCTTGGAAAGTTCAACTGTGGTAATCTTGAATGGTGAGTCAGTAAGCTCTAGAATTCTCTCAGCTTCTGGAATGTTTGGAGTGATGAGTGTGGCCATAGGGAAGAACTCTCTAACAAGCGCATCTACAGCTTCATCCTTCAATAAATTATGCCCACTAGTTGAGACCATCACTGGATCAACAACTACCTTAATATTTGGATTCAATTCTCTATAGTGTTTGAGTTTTTCAATGACAACTCTAATTAATTCAGAACTGTACAGCATTCCAGTTTTAACTGACACAATATTGATATCGCTCATGACAGAGTCTATTTGTTTTGCCAAAAATTCTGCAGAAACAGGGAATACTCCTTGCACTCCCAAAGTATTTTGAGCAGTGAGGGCAGTAATAGCACTTGTGCCAAACAAGTGATGAGCATGGAAAGTATTCAAATCGGCTTGAATACCAGCACCACCTCCAGAATCAGAACCAGCAATGGTCAATGCGGATTTTGGAGCTACAGGATTGAGATTTTTCACTTGTCTACGTTCAATTTCCTCAACTGGCCACTCTTCCAAATAATAAGCAGAATCCCAAAATAAATATTCCATTTGACTTGCCATTTTCACATTTTCAAAACACTTTTCCTTTTCACTTTCTGATGCTGTTGGTGCATATGTATTAATAAATGCTGAAAATTGTTCAACTCCCTTCTTGAATTCATCAGAAGAGTACGACTTGATCCAATCAGCATATGGATGCGAATCTGTCAATAATACTTCTCCACTTTCATTCATCATCTTGTTGGTAATATATTGAGCAACTCTGTAATAAATATAATAGCAAGGCAAACATGAACACAAGGTTTGTAAAAAAGTATCGGAATTAGCACTTGCCAACAAGAATGATGTATAGAGGAGGCATGATTTTGAAGCCTTTGCATCCTTCACCGAATCAATATTCCACTTTTTAAAGTATTCGTGATGTAAATTGGCAGCCTCTTCAAGTGCTCCTTTCGATTGCTCCAACAAGAATAAATATTGTGCCTCTCCATTCACTTCCTTCAACAAGTCAATTTTAGTTGCAGCCAACACAAAAATCTTACTAAATGTTTGCAAATAAATTGTATCTTGAATAATATAGAATCGGAAAATGTTTTGATTCAATGTTCCTTCCATCATTTCCCTAATAAATGGTAATCCTAAAATTCCGTGCATGATTTGATCCTCCATCATGGAAATTAAAGCACCAGCCAATCCTTCAAAACATGCCGGATGAGAGAGTTGATGAGTATTGTTGGTCATTTTTTTTTACTTATCTAATTCATTCTTTTTATTTCTTTCAAAGTGTTGTTGGAAATGGTGTTCACAACAAATCTGGGATGGCTCAAATAATAAAAAACACTAAAACACATATTGATTGAATGAAATTCAAGTGTTACAAGTTGAATGATTCAATTAGAATAGGTATTGCAAGTGTTACAGTATTGAATAAAAGTTACATTTAACAAATAATACTGTCATGTTTAGTCTAATCCATGTCAATATTGTTTGAGAAACAACGATATGAAGAGAATCACAGCACAGCCATGAGCTTGATGATTTACAGCATGATGTTTGGGAGCATGTATTGGATTGTTTCCATTAACAGTCAACTAATGTGGTGTATCAAGGGAATATATATAACTCTCAATCCAAATAGACTTGATATGCTTAATATTCTCAAATTTGAGAAATTGAATGTTAAATGCAATATATTCTTTACATAAAGTCCCTTTCATACCTCTGACATGTATTAATATGTTCCATTTTAAAAACTCTGCATTCATGTGTGAAAGTTGCTGATATTCACAAAAGTTAATGTGATCATCCAATTGTCACTCCACCATGGAAGATGTTTCTTGTTGATGTTGTTGATGAACCTCATCATGATGGTGCTCTTCTGATGGCATTCGATGACCTCAACAAATATTACAGACATGCTGCAACATGTAATTCATCAATCGCATAACAAATTTATACCATTAATAGATAGAGCTCCTCATGTACATTTATGAAAGCCTCTAATAAACTCCTCTTAAATCGCCAAATGATAATGGGCCGATTCATTAGTTCTCCTCCCTTAACGATTATTATTAAATTATTAACAAATAATTCAACATGTGCGCATTGTATTATAACACGTGAATTCACATCACATGTGCTGATAAATGTTTATATATTTTTTCACTTGATTCTAAAATCCATTAAGGCTTCAAGATGCAAATATTTTGTACGATTTTTACAAAAAATGATGTCCCTTATGGAAATATTGAAATAAATGGTCTTATTTGTGCTAAATAATGTGTCCTCTTATGGAAATATTGAAACCCAATTATCGGCAGGTCAAGGATTTATTAAGCAGTAAGGACAAAAGCCAGTTTTGGATATTAAATTTCGTTCATACCGAACTCATTCATGATCTCAATAACCACACAATAGAATTTATAGCAATTCGCTTATAGAAATTCTGGTCCTGTTCGTCTTCGCTCTTTTTTCTTCCTTATTCGTCGAATTTTGATTTAATAAGGACTTGTCGAGTTCTGTTGGTTGAAGACATCTGTTAGAGGGTTCCGTATCTTTAGGGAGGTGCTGTGCATTGTCTTGAAGAGGATAAGTATTCGCCTGAACTGAATAATTATATTCTCGTTCTTGGATTTGAGTATTGGGATTGTGTATCGAATTATTATTGACCTTCTCAGATGCAATTCTGCTTGAATCTTGGTTTGTTGGGTGGTGTGGAACCTTAACCTGTTGGTGGTGCTCTGACATTTTAGGATATGTGGTATTTGTTTGAGGGTTTGAAGACAATAAAGGAAATTGATTGCTGTTGTTTGAGGGGTTAGAGTTGATAATTGGAGGTATAGTGGGGCTACCTGTTGACTTGGAAAGCGCAATATTTGCTTTAGAACTACTGTTGGAGGAAGATGATGATGAGAATAATTTGTGCTTTGTACCTTCCAGTGAAACATGCAGGATTGAGATGCACCATCCTGACTATTTAACTTTTTACTAGAGGACCTACTTGGAAGATAGGTACTGTCTATGAAAGAATGGCTTTGAATTGGTGTAATGTGGTGATGCTGCTTATTTTGTTTTTGGTAATGAATCTGAGGAACTGGATCAGTGGTTGTAATTTGCAAGATTTGTTGTCTCTGTGGAGTGGAAAATGAATCTTGACTTGTGTTCAATGATGGTGAATGTGCCAAAACTGTTTGGAGAGAAGGTTTCAATGAAGTTGAATCATATTGAATGTTGTGAAAGAGGAGAGGTTTGTTCTTTCTAATGGTTGAAATATTACTATGATTATTAAGTTGTTGTATTGAGGTGTTATGTGGATGCTGATTAATTGAAGAAATCGTTGATTGTGTAGGTGCATTGTTGGAGTAGATCCATATTGTTGAGATGTTTTGGAGGGTTTCTTAATTTTGTGAGTACTATTAAGTGGAATGTGAAACATGTCGTATTGATGTAGATTAGCAGTTGATATCGATGGTAGTTGTGTTGGTGGTGATGCTGCTCCATGATGATGGACACTATGATTGTAAGGTGGAGGTGATAATCCAGGTATTAAACTTCTTGTCGTAATAGAGTTAGATGGGTTAGGAATCACAATAGAATTCTCTTCCTGATGATGGTGATTGTAATGTCCAAGTTCTTGATAAAAGTGAGTATTGTTTAGCTCTTCTTGTTGATTTTCCATTGAATGACCCTGCTTGTTAACCATCTTCGATTTCACTGGTCTTGTACAGCTGGTTGTGAAGTTTAATTGATTAAGGACTTGTTAAGCTCAGGTCTCAATGCGATGGTGTATTGTTTTTTTTGGTTGATATTGTTTGGAAAAACTTCATTGATTTGGAATTAAGATCCGTGAGAATGCCGGCGGCAAGTGCAATAACTAATTTGTTAATTTGTTATTGTATTGAGTTAACCGGATGTCCAGTTTACCGAAAAAGACCTTATTAAGATCAAAAGGATAAGAAAGGGCTCACCAGCACGAATTGATGTTCTTTCGAGAGTTAAAACTGTTAAGAATCTAGATTAGTCAAAAAGTGTGACAATATTTAATGACGAAACTTATCACCCATGTCGCCTTAACGCAATTGTAAACAAATGGTAGTGCTTTGTATGAACTCACAGCCCCTCTTCTTCCTTCTGTTTCATCTTTGCTTTGAGTTCCAGCAGCAACTTATTCTGTTTGATTGGAAGCTTGCCCAAAAAGCTAAACAAATCGTCATGTTTGATTGATAATTCAGCATTCAAAAATTGTATCACCTTAATTGTTTCTCTGTTGGAGAAGAACAAATCTATTGGAGCCTCATCTTGGTTCTTGTCATTCATATCTGACAGCACAATTGGACCCTCTATTGTATTTGAGTCTTCGATAACTTGCAGTATTAAACTGAAGAAGAGAGATTCTTTTGTGTGTTTTAGAGTTGGATTTTTGATGAGTTTGAATCTAAGGCGATTCAGAAAACCTATCAGGAGCTTGTTGGCCGATGAGGGTGCTTGGATAACCTCCAAAAACACTGTCAACCTCTTGTAAAAGAGTATTGTTTGATAAAATTTGGTTGTTTGCATATCCAATTTTCCTTTTGACTTGTCCCATAACGATTCTTGAGTTCTAGTCTTTTTGTGATTTCCAACCTTGTAGAGAGCTAATTTTTCCGAAGATTTCATCACCTTCTTGCTTACTTTTGTCAGGTGTTCATTCGAACCTGCCACTACATTTCTATTCTCTGATCGATCATCTAGTTTTACCAGCAAATCATACTGAAGTTTTGTTTGAGTGGAAATAAAGTCCCTTCTCCATTGACCACTGCTTGTCTTTCTGAAGGTAACAGTTTTTGCTTCCTTCTTTTTTTTCAATGCATCCACCTTTCTTGGTGATAAATCTTTGGTTTTGTAAAAAGTTTCCCCATTAATATCAACAGCTCCCTTTTTAATGAGGAAATTGGATCCATGTGGACCATCTCCATTTGGATCAAAACCAGGGGTTACACTGTGTGAAAACTTATTAACCTCTGACATTATGGATTTGAACTCTCCCTCAAATTGTTGTAACTTCTCGTCTAACATTTGCTCATGCTCTTCATCAATCAACTGCTTGTTGAGGGCTGCACTATTGAGTTCGTCAACATTGATATTCGAAATATTCTTATATTGTATCCTAGATCTAATGCTATCTATAATATGATCTACGTTAGAGGCAAACATATTTGTGTGTGACATTGATGTTGACACAAATGAGGCAGAATTATTTACAGAGATGGATTGATTATTAATAAGATTATGGAGGGAGGCTGTACTTGAGTTGGATGAATTAGTTCCACTGCCTGGTGTGAGTGGAGTTAGGTTGTTAGATGATTTTTCTGGGACGTTGGCCACAAAAGTTGCAATCTTGATTGGAGGAAAAACACGTTCTAAATCTGCTGTTTGATAGTCAACTTCACAATCTTCAATATCAACAATTGTATGGTATCCATGATTGGATTGAAGTGGAATTTCTTTAGCTTTCACTCGTTTCAATCTCTCCTCACTTTCTCCCAATTCTTCAGAAGGAAATTTAGCAACAATGCCACCAATACCGGATTGGGCTGCATGATTAACACCTGTAACGTAATCTCCCTTCTTTTTGTCTTGAGCTCCTGAAGCTCTTTTAATTGTGTCTATAAGTCCTAGTTTTGTTTTCTTATTTCTCTCAGCAATGTCAACTTGTTCGTCTGTAATGAAAAGATCATACCCTCCTCCGCCACCACCACCAGGACCAATACTAGATGTTATGCTTCTTGCACTGAGTGGAATTGCAATACTGATTACAGAGCTTTTGGTTGTGAGGGGTTTTTCATTGTTAGTTTGAACTTCAGTAATGAAAGTGCCTCCATTGTGTTCTTGAGTTAGAGAGTTACTCACTTGCTCTTGAACAAATTGTGAAATTGGTTTCAGTCGCTTTTTCTTTTTTCTCTCCCATAAATTGTTTTCCTTGGCATTCTCCTTGTTGAATGGCTGTTCCTCAGTCTGCCTTTTAAATACGACATGTTTTTCTGATTGATTTTCACTTTCAATTTTTGATTTCATTGGTGAACCTGTTGATTTGGCTCTTTGTCTGATTTTTTTCATTGTTTGTTTCATGGTTTCAAAATCTTCATTCTTTTCAATAAGGTCCTTTTGATAGAGTAAATACTTGTTATAAAATTCCTCAACTGGTTCTCCTCTGTTAAATAATTTGACATTATTTCCGTGAGTTACCATCATTGCCTTGTTTTTTCCTCTTGACACATGCTCAAATTTCCATAATTCCTGTTCCAATTTTTGATAATAGTCACTTGTCACTTGACCTTCCAGACTTTCAGAATTAAGCAATTCTGTTGAGTGTCTCAAAATCAAATGTTCAGCATTCGCTTGTTTATCATTCTTGTAAGTTCCGTATGGAACAGCATCCTCACCTATTGGAGGATGAATAAAGCCAGGAATACCTAGTAAATTGATATTATCAGCTGGATTTTCCTTCTTGTTTTTCTTATTTTTTGAGCTAGTTTTAGAAGGAACACCCGTGTCAACAATTAAATCTGCAGATGTAATATTAACACGAGCAGAATTGAGAACGTGTTCATCATCATCCTCGTCATGTACTGCAGGGTTGTTTCTCCTCGAGTAAGTTGCTCCTGCTGTTTGAGGTCTTGGTTTTGACTTTTTAGAATCATTGCCTGCATTGTTACCAATTACTCTATGATTCTTCTCTTGCATTGTCTTAATGTACAAATCATTGACTGTTTGAGGGTAGTGATTTTGAAGGGATGGAACAACATATTCCAGTTTGGGAGTTGAACTAGTGGGTGTCTTTTCTACACCTGCTGGATTGAAAACAGACTCTCTCCTTTTCAAAACAAATCCCCCATTTCCAACTAATGACCTGGCACTCTTTGGACTTTTTGTCAAGTCAATTCCTCTCATTGTTTCGTTTGTATCCACTGTAGGAGGTGTTGTTGTTACAGTATTAATAATTTCTGATAATCCCTGAGCTTTGGGTACCTCCTTTGCAATATCAATTTGAATACTCGGAATATCAAATGCAGTAATTTGCATATTACTAGTTGACACTCTTTTAAGTAAGGGTCCTCTCTTTTGTGATGGCAGGCCTTCCGATTGAATGAGAGGTGGTGGAGTGAATAACGAAGATCCAGTCGTGGCTGATGAATTTTGTTTAGCATTATTAAAGTTTTCCATTGCATTCCGAAGAGCAGAGCTCCTGTGTGGTGCCGAAAATTGATCGTTTTTATGATGATTATCGGTATCCAATAGTGATGGAGTACTACTATGACTGTTATTACCAATGAGGGGACTTTTCCTTCCAACTGATAAAGAACCTCCATTACTACCAGTCCTATGAAAAGGGCTCCTACCCATTGTGGCCCTCTGTTCCAGAGTAGCAGAAGTGATGGTTAGGCCAACAAAACCATCCATTTTATTTTAAAAGCCATTTAAATGGCGCCAAAACAATACAGATGTGTTTGGAGGGAGATGTTACAAAAATGAGTTAATTTGAAAACTCTGGCTTTGGAACTCGAACAGACAACATCAAGGATGTAGTGACATGATATTTATTTACACAAATTATTTTCAATTAATTAAAACACAACTTAGATGCCCTTAAGACTTTCTAGATCTTTTAACAGATTACCAATTTCAGTTTCATCAAACGCTTTCAAGCTAGGAATAAGGGTGGCAGCTTCTTCTGCATCACCTGGCATCAAGTTGGCCAATTGAGCAATTTGGAAAGGTTGGAGCTTTCTTCTTTCTTGTGAATCTTTAAGTGTCACTGTAGCTCTTCCGAGAGCAGATTTAATTGCCATTGTTGTTTCAACAGATAATCCACCTCCAAATCTTCTGGCATAGGTTAAACTCTTATCGAAAACATCGTTAATATAATCTGTTTGTTCTTGTTCCACTTCTTCCTTTTTTTTAGAGAGCATTTGAGCAACTTCGGATATTGTTAAACATTGTCTATCTTTGAAATCACCCAACTCTAAACGTTCAGAAACTTCTTGTTCATCTACAATTGACATTATATTGTTGTTGTTCCTAGTTAATCCAATAAATTATTAATATTCCTCGTTTTCCACTAATATGATGGAAGGTGTATGTTAATGATGAATATTTTTTTTTAAAGATGATCACTAGAATATTTTTAATTGTGATGGTTAGCGTAACGGTTGAAGTTCCGGATGAAGATGATGAAATTTACTTGTTATTTTCTCATGTATTGTATTTTGATTTTATCATACTTCTGCCAACCACATGTAATAACTTGCAAGGGTATGAATGATTGTTAGGAGTTTTGATATTCCAGCTGAAGCAACTTCTTCAGTATTATAAAAAAAATACCCTCCAACAACAATCGTCTTCTATTGAATATCTTTTACAGCTCTCCATCAAACACAAGAACGTTATTTGAACGGATTGTGTTTTAGAGTAGTAGTAGTAGTAACAATTAATAGAATTTCAATTTCCAAAATAATCGGAAACAACAAGGGATTTTTAATCGGATTTATTTGATCATCACACAATTTAAATAATAATAACAATAATTTAAATAATTTCGAAAATAGAATGAGAAATATTAGGCAGAGGAAAATAGATCCCAACAAGCCAATGCCTGTTGTTATCTTTTATTCTCTACTCAACACATATTGTAATGCTTCCTCGAAATCATCAACAACGAGCACGGCTCAAGAATCGGCATCATCAACTTGTTTATCAACAACACCCACTTCCGAGCTATTGGAAACAATGATGACCAAATTGAAGAAAACAAATGGGTATAAAAACATTGAGAATCACTATAGGAATATATCCCAACGATTATCAATGTCTGATTTAGATGAGATGAAATTAATTATGAAAGAATCTGGTCTTGACGAAGAAACATTGAAGGTATGTTCCATCTTATAACATTGATTATTGAGAATCCGTAAAAGTCTATTCGACATGCTCAAGAAATTGCTGATGATCAGGCAAATAATTATACCTATGACCATACACTTGATAGCGATGCTCATGAGGATGGCCATCACAGTAGTGGCAGTAGAGGAGGATTAGGAAATTCGAGAAGAGGTGGAAGTGGAGCCATTAAACAATCATCTCATCAACAATCCGAACCACAACATGGTGCAACAGAAAGTGTAATTTTTACACCATTTGTAAATATTATTGACATTGACAATATGGAATTATCAGATTTTGAAAATGGAATAACGCCCTCATCCTCAAATAGTTCTGTGAGGTCTCAATTTTTGGATACAAAAGAAAAGAAGAGACGACGAAATGCAGAACAAAGAACTAGTAGAAAAAAAGTTAAATATCAGCCACCACCTCAATACATACATTTCCATGAAAAAACAACACAGGTTGTTGAACCTGAAAAGATAATTTACGATATGGAAGATGACGATTTTGAGTGGCTTTCTAATTTTCAAACAAAATATTTGGAAGAATATGAAATGTGCATTTGTAATAATTCAAATTTGGACCTACTTTTACAACGTTGGAAAGTCACCCAAAAGGATAATCTTCCTACTCCAAGTCAAGTATTGCATTTATTTGATGAAGATTTTATTGAAGAATCAATAGATAGATTTGAAAAGACGACATCTTTTTCCAATGAGCTATGCTCATTCAAGAGTGCTATTAACAAGTTTCCTTCACTAGGTAGATTATTTTTTGATATTGAAATTTTTACTCAAGAGACTAAGAATGAAACAAAAGGCTCATCAAAGAAGAGTTCTGCAGAAAAACTTTCACGAAATAATCGATTTCTCCACTCCTCTATACCCATTATTACCACTACACATCGAGTTGATGACTCTGACAGATACAAATTTAATCTGTTCAATCAATCAATTACTTGTAATAGTTTAATACCTCCTTCAAACTCACAAAATCCTTCACAACTAGAAAAGAGTACCAACTCTCTAGGAAATTCTAAGTCCCCAAGTAGTAGCACTAATGGCTACAACAATTTAACAACTTCCCTTTTTCCCTCCCAACCACAATGTACAAATAATATTATCAACAACAGAGAAAATAATTCTGAAAAAGTACTACCAACTCAATTCCTATACGAAATTTATTTATTTTGGAGATCAAAACGATTATCTAGAAGAGTAACCAACACTGACAAACAACTCTATCCTTATTGTGGTAAACCACTGCTTGTAGATTTTGAAAAAGAGCCAGATATTAATGATCAAAGTCCTCATGCTGCTTTCAGACTTAGAGAATTACCAAAGAAACAAACAGAAGAAATACAAAATGATGAAGCCTCCCTGTACAAATTAAGAAAATTGAAAAAAGAACTTTCCATGTTGAAAGATATAATGACCAAAGTTAATGAAAGAGAATCTAAGAAATTGGACTATGTCAAATTGACCCGAGATATTTTGCTGTTTGAGCAAAATAAAATACCAGAGGCACCAATACCTGATCCTTCCAGTGCCACCAATGAGGATACATCCATTATAATAACACAACAAACGGAAAATGAACAACAACAGCAAGCCACCGAAACAATAGTAGAAAAGCCTTACTATGAACCAATATCAGAAGAGGCTTGGAGCGAGCAATTTAGTCAAGACGAATCTGGTTTTACAACAATGAATTTACTTCACTTTATGGAAATTTTAAAGAAAAATAATAGACCATTCTTTCCATTCTTGCTACAATATGTTAAAAAGACAAGAAGTTTTGAAGGAGACGAAGTCATTCCAGAACAATTCAACACCATGCTTCCAAAATATGTGCCTGGTAGTGAATATAATGTGAGTTTATCAGCAAGAAAAAATTCAGTCCTTTTTGATACAGAATCTTTGAATCAGGATGAGTTGACAAGAAACGAAATGAGAATGGACTATACAATTGATAACTTGTTGAATGACGAGATCGAGACACAAAAAAAGTTGTTTGAGGCAGCTGAAAATAATAATGGAACTTGTTCAACGGAAATGCTATTAAGCATGTTGGATGAGGATGAAAAGGAAGCTCCTCCTAAACAAGAGCCTATTGGTCCAATTGTTGAAGTTCAACTGAGCGAATTTGAAGAGAAATCGTCAAATCCCAATGAAAATATTACTTCCATTCAATTTCCAAAAACAAATGAGAATAGTTTTGTGTATGGTGAAGAATAAATGATATTGTTTTTGCACACGAAAAGGTAAAATCAATTTCATTTATTATGACTTCGTTAGATTTGCTCCAACTAGACCCATAAAATTTTACACGTACGACTTTTTGGCTTGTTACCATACTAATAAATCTTTAAGGGTAGAATTTAACTGAATTTTTCTTTTCAAAGAACCAAGGAGAAACAAGTTCATTGTAAGTTTCACATCTTGATTCCTCTTCTTGTTTGTCGTCTTGTGTATAGAAGGAATTTGTTTGTGCATAAGCAGAAGGCTTAACAGGGTGTTTAGGGTTAAAGGTGGCTAGACGAGATCCCTGAGCGGTTAGCAAACAACAATCTCCTTTTGAAATGGAATGACCATATTCACTTGTCTTATAGAATCTAGCTCGACAGAATGAAAAGTAGATTCCTGCAGATTTGAATTTTTCATTAAATAACGTTTGGTAAACTTGAAGTTCAGCAAGTTCTTGTTTTGAAATTCCTGAAATTGATAAACCCACATCATCTAAAAGTTGACCAACTGGCATTGTTAATAATTTTTCCATTGTATGAATATTGAGAGTAGCACAACATCTCTTAAAACAAAAATTCTCAAAAAGACCTTCATGAAGAACAGCTGAACTACCTTTTGGTTTGGCAAGATTCATTTTTACAAAGAGTGATGCCAACTTGGTATCTTTGAGTGTTGAGTTTAGAGGATTACGGGTAGGAAGAGAAGTCATCGAAATTGATTTCATACCATTTGTATAGATATTCAGTATATTCTTGGAGCTATCAGATATTATCATGATAGCTAGAAGTCTGCTGAGCTCTCTTTCATCCCCCATAATATAGTGACGAAGATGAATAGATGCTTGCTTGTTAGTGGTAAAATCATTACGTTGAGTCCATCTATTTCTGGAGGGATCATTGCATGATACTCTTCGTGTATAAAATATGTTTGTTGGTACAGCTAGATCCAAAACAAGTAAAGATAGTGGATTTGGCATAATCTTGGAATCAATACCATCAACTTTTTGGAAATGTATACCAGTAATTTGTTTGAAATTAATTTCCATCGCTAAAACAATACTATTTTTAAGTCTTTCAAACTCTCTAAACATTAAACCTTTCAATCCAGCCTCAGTCAAGGCAGATTTCAATACAGGGAAATATGTTAATCTTTCTTGTTCAGATTGGAAGTTGTTTTGGTAAAGTGGTGAATAAGTATAGAATGTGTATATGAGGGCATGTCTATATGGATTAACCTTGATACGGAATTGACCATCATACGAAGGATCAGGAGACCAATTTCCAACTATTGAAATTCAGTAATAATCAACAAGTAGTACTTACTGGTTATTCTCTTAATTCTAGCACCATCTGTCTTGTACTCTCTCATTCTTTCTAATTCTGTTTCGTCAGTGATGCCCCTAGTTTCAGGGTCTGTTGGATCAACATCAAATTCACGATCTTCAGAGAAATTATTTGTATCGAAATATAAACTATCAAGTGGCTTTCCAGATTTTTCCAAATGTTCCTTTTTTTGCTTTTTTGATATTATTGTTGCCTTGGCACTATTAAGCACATCTGCACGTTTTGTGACCCATTCAGAAGTTGGTTGTTGACTCTTAGGAATAAACTTTTTCTCAACAAATTGTTGTAGAAATTCATTACTTGGATGAATTTCATAAGCACTGAGATACTTCAAATATCCAGGAGTGGAGGGTCTAATATTAAATTTTGGATTATTAGCGGTTCTTCTCAGTTCCTGAAGCAACATCATCTTCCTCACATCGGTAAGGAGTGGTCTCAATGCATTGAGTAAGGTACGATAGTAAATTGAATCTTCATTCGAACAAGGATCACATGATAAGATTACACATACTGTTTTCAAAACTGACTCCATAGCTTCTTCTTGCATCGTTTCAAAGAAGCCCTCAACTACATCAGTTTGTAAAAACTCTTTGGCCTTTTTTTCTTCTGATTCAGTAATGTCCTCAATTACCACTCCACGGTTTTTGATTTGTTTGGCATCTTTAGCTTGCTTTTTTGCTTTGAGCTTTTTCTCCTTCAATTCTTTGGATACAAGACCAAAAACTCTGCCAAATGGTGACTTGTCACCAGTATAAATTTCAACATCCTCCTCATTGTCTTCTTCTTCATCCTCATCCTCATCTTCCTCATCTTCATCATCATGCACTTCCTCTCCACAACATGGACAAACTCTGCCACCACTTGAAGGAGGAATCACCCCCATGTCCATTAACATTTGTTGAAGGAGCATCTTTTTCATTAGATCTTCATCATCCTCATCATAATATTCGTCATCATCCTCATCAGTGTAGTATTCATCATCATCATCATCCTCATAATCATCATCGTCGTATTCATCATCATCATCGTCTTCATCCGATTGGAATTTTGGAACAATTCTTGAACCTTCACCACCTGTAAAATTAAAACTTGGTGTAATATTTGCATTATTCAAATTTCCTAATGAGAAATCAAAGAGTGGTTTCTTTCCGTTGTTGTTATTATTGTTATTTGCTCCAAATACAAAACTTGCACTCTTTTGTTGATTATTATTGGTGGATGTAGTTGATGATGGTGTGGTTGTTGTGTTACTACTGTATTACTTGCAGGCTTAGAACTGTTAGCAGCCTTTTTTCCTCCACCCGATGAATTGTGAGTCTTTTTGTTCTTGCCCATTTTTTTAAGTTTTCCATTACCAGCAAGAACAAAATATCATGATGGAAATTGGCCAAACATTTTCTGAAAGAATTTATTGTTGGGAAGTGGAGGATGTTGTTTTTGTTTGTTGTTTTTGTTGTTGTTCAGATGTAGCCTCATCCATAGAGTCAACCATGACATCAACCAGATCACGAGTAACCTTGTCTCTTGAGATAACTTGGAATTGATTCTTCTTGAAATATTCCTTACCTCCAATAATGACACGTTTGAGACCTTGGAGACTAGGATCAAGTGGTTCTTCATTTCTCACATTATTTCTCTTAAAGGTCACATATTCGAAAGCTCTTGGTGCATTTTCCTTTAACAAACCAACAGATTTGATCTTTTTGTTTTCTTCAGTTTGATTGAGAAGAGATTCGGTCAATTCAGTCATGAGTACTTCTCTTGCTTGTTCGGCTGCTTCCTTATCAAATCTTAATGGATATCTATTGGCTAACCACAGGTAGAGATCAATCATTCTATGGTAAAATTCAATATTCTTCAATGCTTCTTGTAAATAAACACTGACACTATTGACAAATCCTTGTTCGGTGACTTTAGCCTTTTCCCTAATCTTGTCAAGAATTCTCAAAATATTTTCCATATCAATATTTAAAGGAACGGCGGCAATGTTTGGATTTGAAAAGTCTTCAACATAGCGAATGTGCATTTCTTTAGCTCTGTCAAATCCTGGAACTGGAGCATTGACAAAGTCAAACTTTTGTTTCAATGTCAATTTTGGACCAGCATCATCGATGGAAGTGGCCAAGTCCAAAACCTGTTGAACATCACAGAAGAAAAAGTCCTTATGAATTCTACTGAGAGCAAAGAATTTTTCTAAAACTTCATAGAGAGAAATTCCACTTCCTTCTGGGTTGTTGGCGAGTTCCTTAGCCTTATAGACCTTGGAGAATGATTCAACTTGGTCCCATTCTGGGAACAAACCAGCTTTGGTGATTTCTTCATTTGGAATATTCATACATTGATGAAGATATTGTAAGTCATTTTCATAGAAGGTAGTTACTTGACCAATTTCATGGAATCCTCTTCTACCAGCTCTACCTGCAATTTGTTTGACAAGCGAAACGTCAAGTGGAGCAACACCTCCCTTTGAATAGTCATACTTGGTCATTCTATAGAAGACCACTCGCTTAATATTCAAGTTAAGACCCATACCAACAGCATCACTTGCTACAAGAACAGTGAAATCTCTTTGACCTCCGTTCTCTTCAGGATCTTGATTGCCACTGTCATTGAAAAGTTCAGCTTGCTCTGTTCTTACTTCTGGTGGGAGTGCTCCATAAATTACACAACATCTAATACCAGTATTAATTTCAATCATCTTTTTGATTTCATAAATTTCATTTCTAGAAAAGGTTACGATACAATCAAAATCTTTGATATTTTGTACACTTCCTTGAAGAGATTCTGAGCTAATTTCTAGTGGTTTCATTCTTGTGTATGGAATAACATCGATGCTATCAGCAATTCCAGACTTGGTATATTGTAATAACTTGTTTGCAGCAACAGGTTGATGGTAGTGATAGAGATTTTGATTTGAATCTACATTATCACTCTCACTTGTTGGGTCATAGTTTGGATTTTCACTTTCTACAACTTCAATTTCAGCATCTAATTTGTTATCGCCACCGAAAATCAAATTCTTTACAATAGTCAATGCACTACCATCACCACAAATGTGAATTTCTCTAGCTTGCAAGCCAAGTAATGCTCTGGTCCAAGCAGCTCCTCTCTGATTATCAGAAATCATTTGAATTTCATCCACAACAGCCACATCATAGACTTCATTCAAATCTGCCATTTCAATAGTACAAGCCACATGATTTGCGCCTGGTATGATTCTTCTTTCTTGGCCGGTCATTAAATTACACTTGCAACCATATTGAGTATTCATTTTAGTAAAGACCTCTTGAGCCAAAAGTCTCAATGGACCACAATAGACACCATTCTCTGATTGGGACAATCTTGTTAACGCAGCATGGGTTTTACCTGAATTGGTTGGACCCATGTGATAGATAATCTTTCTTCCAAATGGAATTGACTTTTTGTAATAATTGAAAGGATTGGTCATATCACAAGTTTTCAAAGCTTCTGTATATAAATGATAATCCTCTGGATACCTCTGTTGAACAAAAGTATTAAACCATACTGAAACTTCATTTGAAAAGTTGGAGTGTGAAAGGGCCATGTCTGTTATTGCTGAAAAGTCATAGAATAAAAAGTCGCTCACATTGGAAAAGAGAGATTCGTCCTTCTTATCCGAAACATTGGATTGAATGATATTTTCTGGATGGAATGCCAAAATATCTTCGACAAGAGCTGCAAAATCTGGATCATTATTAGATCTTACAACAATTTCACTACAGAAAATTTCAAAAATCAATTCATAGTGAATAGATTTACACTTGGATTTGAAATTCAAATTATTCTTAACATGATTAAGCATGAAAGATTTAAACCTTTCAACTGTTTCTGCATTAATAACAGTTGTTACAAGAGTTTGTTCAGTATTTTTCTTGAAATCTAAATTTTCTGGACATTTAGCGGAAACTGTAGGATAGCTCCAATCCTTATACTTGTTCTCTGAGAAATTATTTTGTTGATTATTCTTATTGTGAACGGAAGGCCTAGATTTTGATAAAAGTCTATTAACCATAGAATTGACTTCATTCTCTACAGAATTGTCAACAGGTCGGGAAATGTCAAAATTATTTCTTCTTTGATTAAATTGTTTAGAGTTGTTAAATCTATCATTTCTATTACTATTGTTGTTATTGTTGTAATTATTATCATTTCTATTATTGCTATTATAGTTATTACGTTGTCTTCTATTATTGTTATCATTTCTTCTCTTTGTGGTTGAAGAATCTTCATCAAAATATTTGAAATTATCATTGGTGTCCCTCTTTTTGTAAGAATCATTGTTGTGAGGATTGTGGGAATAGTGATGTTGATTCTTATTGTTGTTAAAGGATTTTTTATGTGGAGGTCTATTGTCCTCCGAATTTGAATTGTTATTATTATTGGTGATGAAGGTACTTGTTGAGAAATGTCTGATAGAATTCAAGAATGCAAGTCGGGTGTTGAGTAAAAGTAATTGGTTCTTTATGCATCCCTTGTGGAAGGTTGATGAAGAGGCAATCAATTTTCTCATTTTTTTGATTGAATTATTTTCTGTTACTCTCGACTTTTAGATATTCTAGTTAATATCATAATAGAATAATTTATTTACAAAATAGAATTGGAAACCTAGAATGATTCGTCTAAAACATTTTCAACATCATCAAAATTCTCAGAATGGGCAGTGTGGTCGCTGAAATCATTAAGTGAATGATTACTGGCATTATCCTTAAAATCATCAGAATAGTTATCATTAAAGTCACTACCACCTGAGAATTCAGAAATAGCTTCTCCTTGATCCCAATTTTCTTCACCAAAATCAACATCTTCCTCAAAATTGTCAGCAAACTCATCAATATCATGGCCATGATGGTTATCAAAATGGTCATCCAATTGTTCATGGTCATGATCACCAAAGTGATCACTGTGTTGACTGTGAATCGAATGATTGCTGTGCTGACTCGTGTTACTATGATTACTAAGTTTTCCTGCACTATGATTTGAATGTTGACTATGATTACTCTTTTGACTTTGTGAACTCTTTTGACTTGTTGGAGAATCAATGTCTGAAATGTCCAAGTCTGAATCCTCTTCAAATACACTTGTCAGGAAGGCAGACTTTGGTTTTGGTTTTTCCTCAATAATAGGTGGCGACTTGTTGGCTGGTTGGGTTATTGGTTTGAGGGGTGGTAATTTTTGTGAAATAGTTGGAGCATCTGACAAACTAGATTCCTTTGGGCTTGATTCTGGAGATGTCTCATTTGGTTTCTTTTTGGTTCTCTTCTTCATGGTTGAACTCAATTGTTCTTCTTCGAATGAGTCCTCTAGAAGAGTTGCTTGGCTTATCATTGGTGAGTTATTTTGTGATGATGAACCAGTCATGTTGGTGAGAATTGGAGATGGTTCAACATTAACAGGAGAGCTACTTGTGATGTTCGAAATGATTGGAGATGAAGTCTTAGTTTCCATAACTTTAGGTGATGAAGTGGAGAATGATGTTTGTTTTGTTAGGGTTGGTGATTGAGAAACAGTTTGTTGAATATTACTAGTTGTTGTGGAATAGTTAGCAGAATTTGAGAGTCTGGAAAATAATTGAAGCAAAAGAGGTTTGTCTGCACTCAAAGATGAGGTGTCAATATTTTGTTTTGCTAGCATTTCTCTAACTTGGCTTCTATCATTTGATTCCTATTATTATTTGGATGATTTTGATTTCAATATTAGATATGATATCAATTACTTACCAAGTTTGCTTCTGGTAAAAGTACACTCTTTGAAAATTTAAGGTCATAAAAATCAAAGTATTCCAGAATTAATTGAGCCAGTAAAGAATCTGTTGCGTGGTCAGGAAATAAATTCTATTGTACTTACTTTCTTGATTTCCTTTAATAGACTCCGATTTGTGATTTTGATAATAAACATCACCTCTTGGTCTTCCGTGCAAAACATCATAAACGCTTGCTCTCATCTGAGCCTTATATCTACCTAAAACACCGGTACAAGTTAGTGTTTGAGCAACCATATCCTTTAATTCTAAGACCTGTCTATTATCTGCCATGTTCATTGCTGTTGTTGAGGTGAAAAGACTTGTTGCCATTTTTTCTTCTTTGTTGTTGACGATACAATTCTTGGCGCAACAAATGTAATCAAATTGGCGGGAAAGTTTTTTGGTCAATAAGTCTTACATCGAATAGGCTCCCACTTACTTGTTAGCAATTAATTGATACTATGTTCTATTAAGTGTTATTAAGAATATTAACATTGATTAAAAGAAAAGAAAGTTGATTATCATCAATTAAATTGATTGAAAAAAAATGAAAAGATTGAACAACTCTTTGCGTGTGGTGAATAATTATTGTCTTGCTCATTCTTCATTAAAGTCTTCGAGTCAACAACAATTTTATCAAGGAGCCATTGCTTGTTTATGCACCACCAACAACAATATTTCCATCAGACAAGGAACAACAACATTATCCATCAATTCCCTTTTAAATTCTCATCAAACATTTAATTTCCACACTAGAAATATAAATCTTTCCGAACACAAATCATCCACTACAACTGTTCAATCAAATAATACTATTCAACATGTTTCCGACTATATGAAACGAAAATTGACATCATGTGTAAAACCAGATTATATTCCACAAATTGATGAAGCTGTCAAACATTTCGAAAAACTAGATTTTTCATCATCACTTAAATCCTTACAACAATTGAACGAATCAGTTTTCAATGAGGAAAAGAACTTTTTCACTGAAGCAATGCAAAATATTAGAATGATTTATCAATATGTTAATTTTATGGAACAAACTTATTCTCAAGTTGATGGTGTCCATCAAATTCCACTCTTTTCTTCTATATTAACAGAGGATGCTGTTAACAATGACTATGTCAAGTATGAAGAGGCCACAAAAGAACTCGAAAATTTAATCAAATCATCTCCACAAAATACTGCTGAAATGGTCACAACAAGAAGAAAACTTGCCTGGATTAAATTCCATCAAAACTATCTCTTGAATGGTATTAATGATTTGAAGGAAGCTCTCTCAATTGCTAGAAATATTCATGGTAAGACATCTGTTGAGGCATGTTATTGCTATGCAGATTTGGCAACTTTCTATGTGTGTAGTGACAATGTTTCAGCTGCTGAAAAGTGTGCCAAGATTGTCATTTCATTACTTTCAAACAAGCATGATAAGACTCCATATATGGAAGAAAAGATTGCCATGTCCATGTGTGCTCTCTCAGAATCTCTCAGAGAAACCAATCAAGAAGAATCTATCAAGATTAACACAAGTGCTATCAAAATCATTGAAAAAATCTATGGTAGAAGAAATAAGAAATGGATTGATTGTATCTATACTTTGATTACTAATTATGATTCCATTGCAGCAGACATGAAAGATAAGAATTCTAATAATAATGAATTTATTCAAAAAGGAAATACTCTATTCCAATTAGTTGGTGACTTGTTGGATAAGAATGCCTTTACAAATACCCTCCTTCTTCCACTCAGACAAAGTACTGTCGATGAAGACAGCTATGAGGACGATTTATTATTGAAAATGTACAGAAGAAGAAAGTATCCACTCCCTCTTGCAACTCATGCCCTTTTTGGAGCTGCTAGAGTTGTTCTCAGTGGAGAGGAACCAGAAAAATCAATTGACCTCTATGAAAAGGCTCTCTTCTATCTCTCAAAGGAATATGCTGAAGATGAATTTTTAATTGAAAAGGAATTTGCATGCTCACAACTTGCCTGTATTTATGCCTTAATGAATAAGAATGAAAAAGGTGAAGCTCTCTTGACTGCCTGTATTGGCAGAATTGGAAAGGCTTTGGGTACTGACAATAGATTCTATCAAGATATTGCCAGTTATGAAGCTCTTATGGGAGTAAATCCAAATAATGTTGGTGAAGGATTGGGTATTCCAGGATTGGATGCTCTCATGGGTCAAAATGGAGGTAAATCAACAGACGATATAAGGAAAGAATTGGAAAAGTTTGGATTTGATGTAGATAGTCTCACCTCAATGATGGAACAAACTTTAAAGAGTGGCGGTGGAAAGAATATGAATGAAAAGGATATGTTTGCTGCTTTGGCCAGTCAAATGGCTCAACAAGCAAAGGCTGCACAATCTAAACCTCCTCAATCAAAGGCTTCTCCTCAACCAACAACTCCAAAACCATCCACAACTAGTCAATCTAAACCAACTCCAAAAAAGTCAAATAAAAAATAAATTTTCAATTTTATTTAACAATTTTAATTCTATGTAATAACACACAATCGGCTGTGAAATGCCATTCAAAAGAATAAATAATCAACTAGTACTGCTTTCATCAATTTTCCATTTGTACAAGATTTGAACAATTTCCAAGATAATTTAGTTTTGTGATTTTGGAGTGAGAGAAACACCAGCAATTGTAGCTGATTTCTTCAATAAATCGTTCAATGTTGGTTCGTATTTTCCGACCTTGTACATTTGAATCAATTCCGAATAATCCTTTAGTGTTGTTACATATCCTTCATAGAGTTTGGCCTTTTTAAACATTTCTGGATTTTGTTTGTTAGCACGGAATTGTGATTGAACATATTTGAGGGCTTCCGTACTTCCGGTTAATTCTCTTGTGGTTCTCAAGATGCGATAAATATTTCTATACGATAAAAGAACAGCTTCTCTTGTTGGTGTTATGCTCATTTTTTGTGTGATAATTAAATTTTTATTATTAATAATTATTTATTATTTATATAATAATTGAAGTATTAGCTCAAAACAAGATTTTAATTGAATTACAATAAATTAATTAATATTTATAATTATATCAATTCCTTCTTTAAACAAACTTTTTCTTTTGGAACAACTTGACCAGCTTGTCTTTCAATTTCTTGTTTAACAAATTCAATGACTTGTTCTGGAGTTTCGGCAACTTTGAACAATTTTCTCGAATCTCCCTTTCCAACAAATCCATCCTGTTCAGCCCTATCCAATAACATGATCAAATGTGCATAATATTGATTGGTATTCAAAATAATAATTTCACCATCAAAAAGTCCCAATTGTTTCCAAGTAATTGATTCCAAAACTTCCTCCAATGTACCAACACCTCCAGGTAAAGCAATACAAGCACACACATTCTGAATCATTAATTGTTTTCTCTCATGCATTGACTCGGTAATTATCAATTCGGAAATGAAATTCTTATCAACGTGCCAATTACGATCCACCATGAATTGAGGTAAGATACCAGTAACATAACCACCCTCATCCATACATCCTTCCCTTGTTGTTAATATAATACTGTGGAAATTTCTTCAACAAACACATACCTTTAGCAACTCGGAACATTAACCCACAATTACCTGCACCATACTTGAGAGAAATTGAGGAGCGAGCCAGGAGCTTTCCCACCTCTGTGGAGGCTTGTTTGTATTCGTCTGGTAAATTTTCAGAGGCTGCACAATACACTGCAACGGAATATTGATTTGGATTGATGATGGTAGTAGTACTCAACTTGAGAGTTTCATCAACTAATGAAGATTGATTTTCATTGTTTAACATTTTTTTTAATTGATTTTCATTATCTTTGATTCTACATTATTATTATCATGCTTTATTTAAACATTGTTACTACACATTATATAGTTTGCAAAATGACATTCTTAGGTTTACAATATATTTACAAAAATCAAGATAATGCACCTTTAAATTGCAAACCATAAACTAAGGAAAATTGTCAATCCAATAATTAAACCTATCGTGAAAAACAATCCACATCTCAAACAAAAATGTGAAAGAATGGCATCTTTCCAATTAACTTTCTTATAAGTGTCATACGAAATTTCATCGTCATGAGTATTGTCTTCCTCTCTTCTCGTCACTATCGCACTCACTTCGGAATGTGTAGAAGAAAAAACACTATCATTTCGTTTCTGAAGGGAATCGAATATTTCTCTATTCGAAGGTTGGTTATTGTTTATAAGTGGAACAACCTCATCATCCGAATGTGAATCATAATCGTTCATGATTTTATTGAGAAGAGTTTGATCATCTTCTTGTTTTTTTGTTTTATTCGATGTCCTCGATAATTGTTGTTGTGACATTTTTTATTTGATTTTTGACAAATAATTATAATCTTGCCTGATATTTATCAATGTCCTTATAAAAATGATCATATCTATTGGATTTTAAATGATTTAAATGTTTAAGGTTAAACAATATAGGTGAAACGAGTTGAACATCTTGAATGATAAACCGAAAGATATTATTTACTTTCCTTGTATGAAGAAATCAACTTTTTCATTCGAAAAATTTAAATAATTCTACTGAGATAGTCTCAACACAAATTCCACATAAAATAATAATTACCACCAATTAAAAATTGTTCAACAAAATTTAATGGATATCAGCATTCATAATACGATACATGGTCCAAGACAATGTGCCTCCAGCAAAGAAGAACATTGGAGCAGCATTAACAAAAGTCATAGTCTTGAAATGTCCAAATTCCAAAAGAGCGTGACCAAGAGCAATAGCAAAAGCAGATGCATTCATATAGTGCATTGGAAGTGATTGTGGGAACATGGCCAAAATCAAACAAGCAGAAATACTACCACCAGTCCAATTAGCAAACATTCTTCCGAAGAGTGGATCAAAAGGTTCCTTCTTCTTACTGTATACATTCTTGGTCAAAATAGATGGTTTAACATAACCAGTAATAATTGAAAATCCTCTAAACAAGGCAACAAATGCCAACCAGTATGAAAAATAGGTATTGTTTTGCATAAAGGCAACGTGATCCATTTTTTTTTAATTTTAAAAATTTTATTTAACGAAATTGGCGCACAAGTCGCTCTAGTTTTTCTTAATTACTACTACAGAAAATATATAATGTGAGTATTATTCTTAACAATATTAAGGTGAATAAGATTTTCTGTATAGCATATTGAGGGTGTTTCTCATGATATCTCTCCATTTAATATTAGCCTCCATTTTGTTGATATACTGCTTATTTAGTGCCCTTTCCAAAGTAGTTCTGTTTTCTTACATCTTTCCACGTATCTTCTTATTGGTGTTTAGAATCAAGTAGTAAAAAAAATGTACCCACACCTTACTAATAACAATATGACCTTGCCTTATCAACAAGAAGAGGAACCATACGGGAAGAGTTCTGCTCCACTTCTAGAACCACCTGTAATTTATGCTGCTGCTTCTTCTACTGTGGGTCAACAAGCTTCAATTAACCATTTTGACAATAATGCCAGTTACAATGCAAATGAAGAAAATCCCTATTCAACCAAAATCATTAGAGTTGGCTCTATTCTTTTGTTTGTTGGAACTGCAATTGTAACCATGTTTCTTCTTGCAGATTTTGTTGCTGGCACAATTTATTATACATCAACAAGGTATCCGAATGGAAGTCCACGCAATGCACCTGCTGTCAGCTTTGTGAAATTCCCATTATTGGCATTGAATGCCATCTTGTTGATCCTGAGTGGAGTGTTTGGAGTTTTATCCACCAAAAATGATTCAACCAGAACTGCTAGATTTTCATTGTTGCATGTTGTTTTTCTAAGTTTAGGAATGTTAGTTTTCGTATGGGAGTTTATATTCATTTATGTTTCATTCTTCACAACTGGATATGAATTTAACACATATTCACATGGTTATCACTTTATTCCATTCTTGGTCATATTTTCTCTGTTTTCGTTCATTGGAGTTTTATGTTGTGGAATTTGTTGTGTTTCTGGTGTTGTCAGATTGAGAAATATTGATTTAAACATAAAGGAAACAAGCATTTAATCTGTATTGTTTATAATAAATTCATTCACATATATCTTTAAGGTTGTAAATAAGTTTAATCATCAAGTTTCAACTGAAAATATTGAGTTGTGCAGTCCTTTGGATTCTCAAGTAAAAAAATGTTAAAAAATACCATCAATTCATTATTCATAATCAAACCTTCAAGAGATTTAAGAGTTTCCTTGATTTTTAATTCTAATAATTTATTCAACAACACGTGTACTTTTTCAAATAATTATAGCAATAATTTTTCATTTGTTAACCATCATAACAATCAATCGAGAGGAATGAAAATTTATACAAAAACTGGAGACAAGGGAACAACATCACTCTACTCGGGAGAACGTAGAACAAAGGATGATTTGGTATTTGATGCTTTGGGATCAGTCGATGAACTGAATGCTAATCTTGGACTTGCCTATGAACATTTATTGCAAATTAAATTGTGTGATGAATTGGGAGAAACTGATATGAACAATATTGAATTGTTAAAATCGAGTTTGACATCTGTTCAGAGTAGATTGTTGGATTTAGGATCTTGCATTGCCACTCCTATTGAAACAACTACTTCCGAAGATAAGATTAATCGAGTCAAGTTTGATAATTCGAATATTGAAAAGGTAGAAAATTGGATTGACACACTGGATGGATCTTTACCACCTTTGAAAAATTTCATATTGCCTGGTGGTGGATTGACTGCTTCTCAATTGCATGTAGCTCGTACTGTTTGTAGAAGATCCGAGAGAGATGTTGTTTCACTTGTAAATAGAGGTCAACAAGGTTTGGAAGATGTACAGAAATATTTGAATCGTTTGAGTGACTTTTTGTTTGTTGCTGCTCGTTATGCTTCAAAGATTGAGGGTAAGGAAGAAGTTGTATATAAAAAATAGATTATTATCAATCATTCAATCATTTAAATTAGTTGTGAGAGGTGAATAATTTAATGAGTGGTTTTTTGGCAACCTTTCCCATAGCATTCTTTGGAATTTCCTCTCCCTCTGGTAAGACAATGAGACGAGTTGGTATCTTGTATTTGGCTAGGTCACGAGAGCAAAAATCTTGCAATTCTTTCAATGTGAGTGTTTGACCTTTGTGAAGCGAGATGAGAGCACCAACTCTCTCACCATACTCCTCATCTGGTACTCCCAAAACAGCACATTCCTTAATCTTGCTCATATCGAGAATTACTCTTTCAATATCGAGAGCTGATATTTTGTATCCACCAGATTTAATAATATCAGAACTGAGTCTTCCACAAATTTTGTAATAACCCTCCTCATCGATTAATACTGAATCTCCTGTAATGAAATAGCCATCCTCTGTAAAAGCTTTTCTGGTTGCATCTGGTCTACCTAAATATTCTTTAAAAATACTTGGACCTTTGACTAATAATTCACCTGGCTCATTCGGTTTTGTAATTTCCTCCCTTGTGTCAAAGTCAACAATTTTAACTTGAACTGTGGGAAGTGGAAAGCCAACACAGCCCATCTTTCTCTTTTCCTTATCCATTGGGTTTGAAATAGCCATTAGAATTTCAGACATGCCAAATCTTTCCAATAAATTATGATGCGATATTTTTTTCCATTTTGAATAGACTGAAGTTGGTAAGGCAGCACTTCCAGATACCATCAATCTCAATTTCTCAACTTGCTCAGTGTAGTGTTTTTGAGTTTTATGAGAAAGCTCATCATAGTAATGAATAAGTTTGACATAAATGGTTGGAACTGCCATGAACACATTAATATGTTTTTCGTCTGGTTTCTTGTCTGAATTGGTCAATTTCTTCCATACTTGTTCGGGATTGAACTTCAAAAACTCAATGGTAGCTGCACAATAGAGTGGGCAAGTAAGAGCATTGATTAACCCATGAACGTGATGAAGCGGAAGTAAATGAAGGATCATATCCTTCTCAGTCCACTCCCATTCAGAACAGAGAATATTGGCTTGTGCCAATATATTTGAAAATGTGAGTACAACAGCTTTTGGGTTTCCTGTTGTGCCTGATGTGTACACAATTAACTTGTATTCATTCGAATATTAATATTTTCCTTAAATAAATATTGAGCTACCTACAGATCCATTTTCCCTATCGTTTTGTTTCAAATCAATCACTTGAAGCTTTGAATTATCAATTGATTTGGTCAAGGAGTTATCATATTCTATAAATTTGATATGTTTCATTTCTTGAAATAAAGGTTCCAATGAACTCTTCTTTTCCTTTTGATAAATGACAACCTTACATTGGGAATCATCAATATAATATTTCAATTCCTTTGTTGGATGTGTATTACATAGAGGAACAGCAGTTCCATTCACTCTCCAAATTGACCACAATGTGACTGTATAATCATATCCAGGATCGAACAAGAAACAAATCTTTTCATTGGTCAATAGTTTCACTTTTTGATTAGAATCATCAATAGCATTCTCACCACAATATTGATCAACCAATTTGTTTGCAAAATTGCCACTATCCCGAATCAAATCAGAATAGGTATATTTTGTTGTGATAAATTCTTCACTGTTTGCTTTGTTTTGTTCATGTTGGTGGTGATGATGCTTTTCCGAATGATGATGATTGGTAATAATGGCAATATTATCCTGTCTAGAGAGTCCCTTCTCGAATAATTTTGAGGATGAAACTATGAAAAGATGATCAACATTATGTTACTAAAAACGAAAACATACTGTACAATGTATGATCAAGTCTCTTTTGCAGATTTTCTAACTTGATATTCTTTCCATTCCATATACAATATATTAATCTATTACCATTTGCCAAAAGTGTTTGTTTCTCGTTAGCCGAAGAGAACAGCTTCCTCATATTCTTAATATTACAATTATTTAAATTTTTTTCAATTAAAAAAAATATTCCAATATCTCGCTTTGTTGTACGAGCCTATTTAAAATAATCGGAAGAAGAATGGAAGATCTATTGTTGGATGCTTTGGAAAATAATACTTTGGAAATTGTTGACAAGTTGAATCAATTGTCTATCATGATTGAAAAGTATGATGCAAAGGAAACAAAACCTCACTGGTTTGATACAATTGAAAATTTGGATAAACAATATACTGATTTGTTGTCCTTGTGTCATCAACATGCCAACACTCCGCTCATGCAAGAACAATATCCATATGATTTATTACAAGTTATTGATAGAAACGAATCACCTGATCAATACTTGAGAACTGTCACCGAAAGGGCACAACAAAAAATTGAATATGCTAACGGAAAGAAACTTGCTGTCAAACAATTGAGAGATGTTATTAGAAGTGAGATTGAAAAGAACTTTTCCGAGAATGATATGAAAGAGTAATTTTACTTTTTTCTTTCGGAAAGTTTTGGCCTTTTATCATTAATTAGCGTATCTTCCACTACTCGAGGCTTTTGGGTAATTTTGCTTGGAGCACGATTATTACCTACACTTGTATTATTAGTTTTCTTGATAGAATTGCTACTTTTGGATGTGGAATTGGCTTTTTTCGACTTGTCATCAATAAAATCAGACAGTTTCACACTAATAGTTTTGGATGGGGAGTAGTTATTGACCTCAGTTTCTTTGAGGATGGCTGAAGTATCTCTCAATGCTGTTGTAAGAATGGTATTGAGAGATTGTCTAGGAGATTCGGGTCTCTTTGGAATTGATGGATTTGTGAGAATTGGTTGATAGGGCTTGTTACTCTTCTTTAAAGGATTCTTGTTATTTAACACTTTGGGTGTGGCAACAAATTGAGATTGTTGAGGAGCAAAAGCAACAACTCTTGGTGATGGTCTTGGAGAGGGTACTGAAGATCCCTTAAATGCCTTCTCTAACCTTTTAGGTATGGTTGGAGAAATGAAAAATGAATCATCTTCATTGATAAATATTATATCTGGTTCATACTCTTTTGGTTGAGACAAGAGCTCTGGTGAAGGTTTTCTGTTTGGTGTCGAAAGGTCTTTCTTGTCAAGTTCTGGAGAACCCATATTGTAATTTAGATTCTTACTTGATTCTGCTCTTTGCTTTTTTAACAATTTGTGAAACATTAGAGTTTCCTCCTCTGAATCTTGTGGTTGAGTGATAGCACTGGTTCCTTCATCATTGTGGTAGTTTGGGATATTATTGAGAGTGAAGAATTTTTCAACTTCCTCTTCAATCTCCTTCTCAGTGAACATATCCTCCTTTAAATCGACTTCTGTTGACGATTTAATAGGCGTTGCAACATTGTACATCGGTTCTTCCTTTTTTTCTTCTATTACTTCTCTTGTAAGTTTGTTCTCTTCATAAGTTGAAGTTGGTTTTCTGATATCTTGTATTGTGTAATTGGTTGAAAGCATTTCTTCAGTTTCCAATATTCTCTCCTCAATGATTTTGTCATTAGCCTTGTCCCCAGAGTCTTGAGTGGATTCAGTGTAAATCGATCTCCTTGCTTCATTTCTTAGGAAATTCTCGATATAAGGACCTTTTCCAGTTTTTGGGAGGTACGGAAACTTGAACGGTTATGGGTGAATAACTTGATCAGAAAACTTACATTCATAAGATTGGATGGCTTGATGTCGATCCATTCTGCATTTCTTAACATTCTATCAATATCAAAGGGCAGTTTAATGTTGAGTGCACCAATCTTTTCCAATTCCTTCTTGTGTAATCCCTTAGTGGGTGTGACCACAAGATCCATTTCACTCTTCGCTTCTTCTTGAGGTTTACATGCTTCAATAATGGGTTGCATATCCTCAATTGGTGGAGGGCTTAATTCTAGAGTTGATTCATGTATTGGCATTTGGAATTGATTCGTAGAAGCTAATTCAATTATTTCAACTATCTTTTCAGGAGTCTTTTCTTCAGTTGTGACCTCATCTGTAATACACGGTGATTCCATCATGATTGTGAGCTGCTCTCTAACAAGACTATCATCCTCTTCAGTATTTGTCATTGTTGATGAGTCAATTGTTCCACCTTCTTTATGAGCATAAGTGTTAACTGTTTGCTTGATTAGCGAGTGAAACTTGCTTAGGGATTTCTCAAATATTTCGAAGAGTGGCTCTTTCTTAATATCATCAGTTGAGTATTGTTTTTCTACAAGTGTTTTTTTAGAGAAGGCAAAGAATAAATGTAGAGCTCCTTCAAAACCTAGGGAAGTATTCTTTAGGGATTGTTTGTGTACCAGTGCTTCTTTTAATAAAAAGGCCATTACGTCGTCAGTTACTGCGTTTGGTTTAAGTATTTTCAATTTTAAATAGGAACTTACAATGATCGTAATATGCACTGTTGGAATATAACTTTTTAGTGTCCAATACTGCCTCTCTCCACAATTTAGGGATAACAAAAGGAGATTCTTCACTTTCAAAGTTGACCAGAATAGAGTTTGATAAGAGATTATTAACAGATGGACTCTCTGAAAGAAGAGAAACTGATGATTCAATTGCTTTCTTATCCAAGCTATTGTTATTGAAATACTGTTTAAATCTTCTCAATGTGATTGCTCCCTTGTAGGCTCCTGCATCATTCATTACCTCAAATGCTTGATTAAGGACAAACTCTGGTGTTATTGATTGACCATTCCTAGCATAATCACTTGCAATAACAATAACAAGAACAAGTATTTCCTCCAATGATAGTACTGACTTGTTCTCATCATCCAATAGGAAGAATAAATGCTCAACCGATCGGAGCCAATCATCCGTACATTGCCACTGAAATTTCAAGTCCTTATTTTGACAATTAATTAACATTCCCATCAGAACATCTAACTGATAATCTGTATAATTTTCCATAAAGAATTTGTTCCATTCCGACTCCATTATATTATTTCGTTTTTGAGGAGATGAGGCTACATTCTCCTTTAGATCTGTTATTGTAAGTGCTGATTGTTTGGTCCATTGCAAGAATAGCATATCAAACTCCTCCTCTGAAATCATTCCACCTAATAGCCAATCCAATATTGTTTTAAATTTCTCCAATGATTCAATACTTGCTTTCCCTCCACATATGTCCAACACAATTTCAATGTACAAGCTTTTTGCATGATTATCCTTAGGATTATTTGTTAGGGACGATGTGAAATTCGAAGAGTTGGGTTGTCTCTCCGATGATGATGAAATGTGACCATGTCCCTTAATACTCATTTGTTTTATATTGGATTTTTTAACGGAAACAAACAAGGGCTCACTTGGGCGGGAAAATACTGTTTCTTTGTGTATGTTCAAATTGATGATTATTTCTAATAAATTATCTCAAATTTAGATAATAAATTAAACAGAGATTCTTTAACTCTCATCATCGACGATGCAGACACGGAACCAATACTTTCTTGCATAATATCGGATAAAAAGTTTTAGTAATTTTAATTACATTGTACTATAGAAAGATAGTGATGATAATTTGTTCATTATTAATAATGTTAATACCCACTCCAATACTCATCAACAAGTTAATTGACTCCACCGTATTATTTATTTAATAAATTTATCATCACAGAAATTTCTCGTATGCAAAAATACTTCAACAAAAAAATGTCAACAAAAACAACAGCCCTTGACTCTATTCTCAAACACTTAATCGATAAGGATCAACAAGATGATTCAGAAGATTCCATCAATAAAAACTTTATAGAGGATTTTGTTAATTCAAAAGTACAAGATAGAATTAAACATTGGATAAAATCATTATATGAATATCAAAAGAATTCATCATCACAAATAACATCATCGGGAATTAAAAAATTACTAGTAGATGGGTAGGTGTTTTTACATAGTATTTGATGTATTATTGATATTATTAGATTTGATGAAGAACAAGTTTGGAGTCAGCTTGCAACATTTCATCAACCTCTTCTTTCACAACTCTCCAACAAGATTGACAAGATGGAAAATTTAGAATCGATAGTAAATGACGAAGTTTTGCAATATTTAAGTGATTCAGATGACGAAGAACAAGAAGAAGGAGAAGAAAATGTTGATGAACGAGCACTCCGAAGAATGATGTCCATGGATGAAAGTGATGAAGAGGATGACGAAGAAGATGGCATGGAAGAAGATAAACCAACCACAACAACAAGAAATAATAAGAAAACTCTGAGAGGAGATGAAGCTAAGGAGTATATAGCTGATGATTTTGAAGAACAAGATATCAATACATTCCTTGACGATATGGAAAAGAATATGGATGCTCTTGATGAAATGGATTACGATGAAAATGAAAAGCAAAATAACAGAGAAGAAAAGAGAGCCATGGGTGAATTATACGGAGATGAAGATATTGATGAAGATGAAGAAGAGGATGAAGAACCAAGATCAGGAAAGGAACAAAAATCAGCTTTTGAATTGGAACAAGAACGTTTATTGGAAAGAATGGAAGAATTGGAAAATAAGAATATCAGAAATAAGGATTGGCAAGAAATTGGTGAAGTTGATGCTAAGAAGAGACCAATGAATTCACTTGTTGAAGAAGGAAAGTTATCATTTGAACATGCTCACAAAGCTAAACCAGTCATTACTGAAGAAATTACAAAGGATTTGGAAAGTATTATTATTAGCAGAATTGTCAGTGGTATTTATGATGATCCTGTGAAATTGTCTGATGAGGATAAGAATGAAGATTTAAAGCAAGACATTCAATTGGAACATGAAAAATCCAAGAAATCTCTCGCTCAAATCTATGAAGAAATGTACCTGAAAAAGGTTGAAGGAGTTGATATTGAAGAAGAAAAGAAGGAAGATCCAGTTGTCAAGGCAACCAAACAAAAAGTTCTTAAACAAGTTTCAGATTTGTTACGAGTTCTTAACCAAATGTCATCCTTTACCTATGTTGCCCCACCAAGAATTGATTTGGAAGACGAATCTGAAAACAAGACTGTTACAAATACAGTGACAGGAAAGGAAGAAGGTGAAAAGAATGCTAATGAAATTCTCCCAGCTGTCAAATGGTTACCACAGGCAGGGGAAGAAATGACCGAACAAGATAAGAAGAGAAAGAGAAGACAATTCAAAGAAACAACAAGCAAAAAGGCAAAGAAGGCTAATGAATTAGTTGACAAATTGAATCCAGGAGCTTCTTCTCATGCCACAAAATTACTCGATGATATCAATCAAAGAAAGGATAATACAAAGAAGGAAAAGGCTTCAAAGTTGGAAGACGCTTCCGCTGTTGAATCTGACAAGATGTTTGGTAGCTCTAAACAATTCTTTAACAAGATTCAAGATAATATTAGAAAGATTCACGGAGCTAAGGCAGCTAAGAAGGAAAAGAGTGGAGTTGTTAATAACAGTAAGGACGAATAAACGAGACATTCAAAATATTTTTGTAAATCAAAATCATTTCTGTTGAAGAAAACTACCACAATTATTCATTGAACAATCTCAGTTGTTTGACGAAACTGTCTCTCCACAAGTGGTTGGAAAGAGATTATCAATTAAAAAAGTACAATTTTAAAAATTGTATTCCTAATGATCTATCTTGGTTGAAGGATTCCTTAATATTTTTCTCAATCTCATAAGGTTCTCTCTGAAACAATTTTAATCCGATCTAGTAATGCAATATATAACGTACTTCTCTTAATAAAAAAGAATGCTATCAAATGCACCACCACTGTTGAATAAAACAATTGGACAGTTGGTTAGGCAGGAAACTGTGGAAAAACCTCTCAATCAATCTTCACCCCAACAACAGTCAAAGAGTGGCACCACCTCTTCAGCAGGACAAACTGTTGTCCTCTCCGTTATTCCGGATGATAAGAAGAATTTAGAGAGTAGGGGAGGAAAAACCTTGATGCTCAATGTGGAGGTTATTGGAGAATCGAAATTTAAAGTACTCTCCAGCACCAAATCCAAGATTTCTGAAGTGTATGAAACGATATGTTCAAAGATTGGATTAAATTCGGAAGGTAAAAAGTACTTTTCCCTCTCTCAAATTGTCTATGATGAAGATACCGAAATAATGAGTAGGTTAACATAATATTTATTGAGAAAATTATAATTAATGAATAGATAGGTTTTTGAATTTTGAGAAAACTGTGGAGGAGGAAAATGTATCATCCTCAAGTACTTTGAATTTCATTATTAAAGTCCTCAAGAAGCCTATTGATATTAAGGATCTGCAGGCAGAGATTCTGTTTGTTAAACAATTGCATCACTTCTTCACAACCAGACTTTTCAAGGGCACTGAAAAGCAATCCATCTTGATGGCTTCACTAATGATTCAAATGAATTTTGGAGATTATGATCATGAAAAGCATAAGATTGGATTTTTAAAGTAAGTAGTGTAAGTTGGCATCAAATTCTCATGAGAATAGTAAAATTGAATTGGAGCATCTCATTCCAATAAGTGTGACAAAGCATGATCATGCTTACTGGCAAGCGAGATTACTGAGGCTCTACAATAAATGGAATGGAATGTCAAAAAAGGAAGCTGTCTATGCATTTATTGATGTTGCATGCAAGACATCACATTTTGGATTATCATTCTTTAGAGTTGAGGTTGGGGTGGAAAAGAGAAAGAGAAGTTTAGCAATTGGAGAAGATGGTCTTTTCCTCTTTGACAAGATTAACCTTGTAAGTTTCTTCAAGTTAATAATTAAGGTCTTATTTCCATAAATCATCAGAAACCAGAATGTTGGAGATGGAGCAAGATTCAAACTTGGAGGTCAATTGTAAAAGATAAGCAGAATAGTACTCTTGAAATTGATATAGTTGGAAGTAAGAATACTGTGTCTGTTAATTCCCCAAAGGAAACCCACCAAATGATTATTTACTTGATAGAAATGTATTATTCATTCCTACCAGATGATATGAAAACTTGTAAATTGGATTCGGAAATTGACTCCTCTCCTTGCCTCTCTCTGTATCATAGGCCTCAAAAACGAACATTCATAGGAATGTTCACAAGTAGAGTTGAATATTTAGTGAGATACTATATGGAAATTAATGCTAGAGGAAGGAATGTACCTTTAAAAACAATTTGTAAACAGCTTGATGATGTGATAGACGATGACACCACTCTTACCTCACTAAAAGTTGGTAGAGGAGATTTAGATGATGGAAATGTGAGCTTTTTATTGGATCCTTTGGAGGTTTGTTGTGCATATAAGGCAGATATTAGCTTTCCTTGGAAGGAAAATTTGAATCTGACAAGTTTAGATTTTGGTGGAAATATCATAAGAGCCGAATCTGGAAGACTAATTGATGTAATTTCATATTTTACTAATTTAACATATCTTAATCTTTCTGGAGTGTTCTTGTATAATGAAAAGAAGAAGTTTTTAGAATTTCTCACAGTTAGCAAATCCTTGGAAGGTTTAGAGTTGTCCATGTGTGGACTGGATCACAAATTCCTCAAAAGTATTATGGAAATTGTAATGGGACCTTCTAGATCCAAGCTGAAAATTCTTAACGTTTCAAAAAACAGATTGAAAAACAAATCATTAGAGCTTATTTACAATTCTATGGAATTTTTTTCCTATGAGGAATTGAATATTGCTCAGAACAAGTTCAAAGCAGCCAAAGATAATATGGTAAAGGAATTTTTCAGGAAATTGGAGCCAAATCAAAAGATTACCAAATTGGATATTAGTGGAATGAATATTGGAGAAAAGATGGGTGAGTACTTGACTGAATTGATTGCTGTCAGTGCTTCACTTCAAGTTTTGAAAATGTCAAATGTTTCAATCAATGGTCTTGTATTTTATAGAATTGGAAGAATTCTGAGAACTCATCCCTCCCTCAGTGAAATTGATCTGTCAATGAATAAGATATTCCAAAAGCTTGGAATTGAAGAAATTGAAGATGCTTTCTTCTTTCTCTCTTCAAACAAGAGGCTTATATCCATAGATATTTCAGATTGCTCTATCAATGAAAAGGAAGGTGAATATATTGCCAAATTTATGAAGGAAAACACAACAATAGATCGCTTTTCAATTGCTGGTAATACAATTTCGACATCAACATACGATTTACCTCCTATATGGATGGAAATGATTGAGCAAAACACAATTTTAAATTTGTTTGATTTTACAAATTGTAAACTGTCAAGAAGAGGAATCATATCTTTACTAAGTGCAATGAATAAGAGCAATAGTGCAAAGGAATTGTATATGGGAAGAAATTTGATCGATTTCACAATTCCTGAAATTAGAGAAAATTTTAAAAAGCTAAAACTCAGAGTTGTGGATATGAGAATGATGTCCATAAATGATAAACAAATACCACTAGTTGCTTCCATCCTCACAGAGAATCCATATATTGAAATTGTTAATTTTGAATCCAATCTAGTGACATTCAATGGAGGCGAAACATTTGTTAAAATTGTGGGAAAGAAGACTAATCTAAAAAAAGTCGTTTTTGTCTGTAATAGAATTAAGGAACCAGAGAAACCAGTTTTATTCAATTTATTTATTACCCACACTAATATCAATCACGTTGTTTTGTAAATGTATAATAAATAATAATACTGTCTTTTTCTTTTTTAAAAAAAATGAACGAAAGAATATTGAATGGTTGGAATTGTGAAGAGTTTGATAAGAAGAGAGTGGAGTAGGTAGTGTGCCTGTTTGAAATATATCATTGATATTTATTCTGTTTTGAAAGGATTTTGATGGAAAAGAAATTATATTTTGATTATTCATACATGTTCCGATTGATTGGTTCAAAACAAATTAATGTAGCAATTAATTATTTAATTAATTATTTGGGAATGAAGAGTAAAATAGAAGAGTTCATATCAAATTGGAGTGATGGAAATATATGTGATTGGGAAATTACTTCTCTGGAAAAGTATTACAGTTTTCTTAAAGATAAATCAGAAGCCTTTCAACATCTTTGGATGAGTTTAATAATTGTGCAATATTTGAGTTTATTACATTTTATAGCTCACAAGGATCAGAATTATTATGTGAAAGCTTTCAGTTTATTACAAAAGGCAATTCTTCCAATGTTGGAACATTACGGTAATGAAAGTCTTGGGAAAATGTTAACCTTACTATTAATTGATTTTTCAAAGTATGTTTTAGAACATTAGTGGAATTAACTTTAAAGATACTCTCAATTATCAGGTGTTCCAAAATCAATTCACCAGCTCTACTGCGAATATGAAGTTTCCCTCAAAAGTACACTTCAGAATTGTATTCCAGAGATTAATGCAATAACCAAGTTTCAATCAGAAGATGATCTATTTGAGTATCTCCACAATCAATCAGTTAGTATAAACAAACTCAAGAACCTATGCGAATAATAGTGGCAAAAGCATTTAGAACTTTAACATGGTTTAGTTCTTGAAGATTAGTATGATCAAGTTTCAGATAAATAATTAATACAGGATTTTATTTTGGAAAAATAGATTTAACGAATCAGATCATAGTTCTTAATCATAATCTTTTGACAACATTCGAGAGCATACTTCTTAACTTCATCATTTGGATGTTCCATCAATTGGAGAATACGAGCCTTAGCACCCAAATCAGTGACGACACGTTTACCACGGTTGTGATAACGAACAAATTCACCAATATCGTGACAACCAATGGCCAAATTGTCTGTGTTTGATTCATCATCCAACAATTTAATCAATTCACGAAGAATGTAAAAATTATTTTGTTCCATCTTATCCATATTTTCTTTCCAAAACTTTTCAGAGCTGTGAACTGGAGTCCATTCCAAATGTCCACTCAAAACTTCTTGTCTATAATCATCGAAGGAGCTGATTTCATCAATGTGTGCATCAAGATTTTCAGAGAGACTCTTGAGTTCCTCAGTAATATCCTTATCTTCGAATGAACGCTTTTGTAAATTCAACAAAGTCTTTGGAACGCTAACGTTAACCATAGCAGTAACAAACTTTGGATACTTCATCAAGTTCTTGAAAATAAACAAAATAACTCTAATAACCTTTTCCTTTTGAGCACACTTTAAAACATCGTGTAACTTTGGAACCAAAGATTCATTTTGGAAAAAGCTGACAGCATTTTCGTGGAAAGTAAGCATCCATAAACAAGCAGAAACTTCATACAAAATTTGGACATTATTACGATGGACACGAAGTAAATTAACCAATGGTGCAATACCCTTGACCTTGTTCAAAACAGCACGACAATCATTACGCTTCAAAAGTCTCATTAAGGCTTTAACACACATTCTTGACTTTCTGACATCATCTCCAGAACTCTTAAGTTGGTTAGAAATTCCTTCAATAAAGCTTTCAAGTTGTGATTGATATCTATATTGGGTTGATCTTGTACGATTATTTCTTTCGAGTTGTTGTAATTGTCTATACATTTCTTGGTCCTCTGGTGCATTCCACAAACTAGTTCTACTTTCATTATCGACATCCAATTCGAACAATCTGCTCAAGCAATTAAAAGCCTTTTCCATGATGAAAATATCGTTTTTGATGAACAATGAGAGGAATGGAGTGAAAGGATTATTTTGATTACTATTGTCATTTTGATCGACATCGTGGAATTGTTGGCACAATTCTGGGCAATTTTCAAAGAGCAAGTCAATCAAATACAAAATGTTAATCAAAGCTTCGTTTTTGTGGACACCGTTAAGGAGTTTGATGAAAAGATAGATGTATTCAATGGTACCAGTTTGTTTAACAATATCAATTATTTGTTTAACATCCCTTTTTTGAGCACTGATAGCTTCTATACGTTGTCTTTCTAAAGGCGTCAAGATACCAGCTTCTTGGTATGATTCCCAGTTAACTTCTGGCAAGTCATCAGCGGAAAACTCTTCAGCTTGGGAAGCCAAAGTATCAGTACTCATCATACGGTTCATTTTTTGGATTTTTTTTAAAAAAATAAATTGTAAATATTTTATTTAATTTTTTTTAACTCCGGTCTCCTTTTGGCAACCTTCCGCAAAACAGTGTGTAAGAAGATAATGTGAAAGCAAATAATATGACAAAGAAGATATTATTATTATTTATATTAACATTAGAAGAGAGAAGGCTTCTAATGAGTTGAAAATATTAGAAATTCAAACATAGTCGGGAAAACTTCCTACAGATCCTTTAGGTTGGCTCGGAGACGGTTTAGTTTCTCTTCTGTTTCTTTCTTTGCATCTTCTAAAAGTTTCTTCTCCTTCTCAATCTTGACATTAGTTTCTCTCAATTCTAGAACAAGTTCTGCATACTTTTTTCTCTTTTCTTCGGTTGCTTTAAGGCGAGTAACAAGCTCCTGATTAACAGTCTCTGTCACAACAAGTTTCTTCTTAATTATTTTTACAACATTCTCTACCTCATTCTCAGCTTTGGATAATTGAATAGTAAGTTCCTTATTGTGTTGCTTTTCACTTTCTAAATTTTTGAGGGAGTGACTCAATTGTTCTTTCAATTCATAATAATCATTTTGCAGTTCCGAATACTTGTCCTTGAATGCATCCAGTTCATTGATACGTTCATTCAACTCGTCTCTGCAGAGTTGCCTCTTTTTCTTTTCCTTATTAGCAATTTCAACATACTCCTCCAGTTTACTCTCCAATTTTTCCACTTCATAATCTCTTCTTTCTTCCTCCTTGAAGAAACCTTCCTTTTCTCTAATTTCTCTTTCCAATTCTTTTTCAAGGAATGCAACTCTATCTTTTAGTTTACCATTCTCTTCTTTTTGCTTCTTTATAGTTTCATTATTGTCATTTAGCATGGTATTTTTCACGAGAAGAGATGCCTCCTGATCTTTCTTAAAGTCTTCACGAATAGATTGAATCTTCTTTTCGTGTTCCTGTCTGAGGGAGCTTTCCTTTTCATTCATTTCCCTCTTCAATGAATCCATTTCTGTTACTAGCTTGTTGAAATCATTTTGCAAGGTTTCGAGTTTCAAAATTGTCTCTCCTTTAACTTTGCTTGTCTCTTCAAGTTGAAATTTCAAATTTTCTGATTTTGTTTTGTATTCAAGGGCTATTGAGGAGACTCGGTCAATTTCTTTGAGATAGCCTTTTTCTTTTAATGAGGCTTCATTCTTCTTCTCCTCATATTGTTTCAAAATCTTCGAGACAGCCTCTTGTTTTGATTTTAACAAGTCAGAGAGTTTCTCTTTTTGAATTTGGATTAGCTTTTTCAAATCTTCCGTTTGCAATTCCAAACTATTGGAATTTTTTACATAGTCCGAAAGTGTATTCTTTAAATCGCTTGTCTCTTGAATAAACTCTTTGAGTTTTTGCTCCATTTCATCACACTCAAGATGGTGATTCTTTTTGATTTGTGAAATTTCATTGCTATGTGAGATGGAGAGTGCTCTAACTTGTGACTCGTGTGTTTCTATCAATTGTTTCTTATCGAAATCTGATTTTTCTATTATTTCTATAATTTTCCTCTCGTATTCTCGTTTCATTTGCTCAACCCTTCCCTTTATGTGCTCATTGGAGTTGGAATGCTCTTCCTTTGTTTGCTTGATAATATCATGTGCTTCAATATTACTCTTAGAGAGGTTGTCAATTTTCTTTTTTAAAGCCAAAATGATTGCATCATATTCTTTCTTCATAGAGAGCATTTCCTTGTCTTTGGTTTCTTGAAGAGAATAGGCATCTTTCTTTGTTCGTTCCACTTCTTTTTGAAGTTGAGAATCATGTTCCTTGAGAAGGTTATTTTCTTGTGAGATTTGATTCATTTGTTTGTGATTTTCTAATAGTTTTTTCTTAATTTTGGTATTTTGATTCTTAAGCTCCACCATTTCCTCTTCAAGTTTTCTCCTTTTTGTACTCTCTGTAGCCAGCTCTTGTTCTCTATTTTGAATGTAAACATTTGAAGATCCAATCTCTACACATAACTCTTCAATGTTTTTCCTCAGTTGGGCTATTGTTTCCTTGTCAGAGTTAGAGGAGTCTGAACTGGTGGCAGAAATTTCGCATTCTTCCTCTTCCTCTGTTTGTATTCCTGCATCAAACAGATGGATTGACCTGAATCTTAACATTTGATCGAATATACTTGAGGAAATATCAGTTTGAGTGTTTTCATCTCTGATGTGCACCTTTACAATGTTTGGACTTGGTGGTGAGGAGTTGATTTCTTTTTTCTTTAAACCTACAAACTGGGATATCGTCTCAATACTATCACCATTTGAAACTCCCATATCTGGATACGATATAAAGTCATTGTCATCGTCGTGTTCTTCGTGAGGGGATGGTGATGTTTCAATGTCTTCCTCTGCAAATGTTGCTGTAGGAATTTCCACCTTCATTTCCTTTTTAATAATATCCTGTTTTTTAGGGGTATTTACTCCAGTATTACTATTAGTATTAGTGTGACTAGGAATTTCTGGTTCTTCATCCAAATATTTCAAATACTTTCCAATGTACGGTGTTGTTAATGTATCCATATCAATTTCATAATCGTCACTATTTTTGATATAGTTCAGAATGATTTGTCTATTGTTTGGCCTACTCTGGTCCTTGACAATACTAATTTTGAATCCGTCAAGAATTTCAAGATTGGTGCTCCGTTCTCTGAGAGCCAATTTTCCTAGAATGATGGGCCTATATCTTTCATTTTTACAAACAGGATTTCCCAGAGACCCATCCAATCCATTTTGAAAATGTATTTCTCTTATTGAATTTAATCCAAATAAATATGTAAGCTCGTTTAAATTTTCTATATTATTTCCTCGTACATCCAAGTGTCTGAGATTGTAATTTGGTCCATGAAGAAAATGAAGACCTTGAATAGATGTTATATTATTATAAGCCAATATTAGTTTTCGTAATTGTTTCAAATCCCCCAACCCTTCAATTTTGGATATCTTGTTGGAGGCCAAGTTCAGAACTCTCAAATTAGATAGTGATCCCAGTCCTTCTATTTTTTCAATGTTGTTAGATGATAAATTCAACTCGAGTATATTTACAAAATCTGACAGACTTTCCATTTTGGTGATAACGTTTTGGTGGAGGTTCAAAAGTTTAACAGCACTGAAAGCTTTTTGCAATGTCTCCTGAGCTACTTGAACAGTTCCATAACTTTTGGAAATAATTAAGGATTTGATTTGAGGAATTGAAGAGATGGAGGTATTACAAAATTCAAATATTGATCCATTATCGGAAGTGTGTACATGATGTGATGTAGGGTCATAACTTGTCCCAACACCCAAATCTAATTGAAGGAGAGATGAAGACGATGGTTGTTCCATTGTGGTATTATTATGAATTATGTTGTTATTTGGTTTTGGTTGTTGTGAAGGTACTCTTGTTGGAGTAGATGATGAGGTAGTTGGTTGGTTATTATTTGGTCGGGATGAAGGAGGTGTTTGATTTCTTGGTTTTCTATTTTGTGGCTTTTTAATTCTTGGATGATTAGTAAAGTAGGGATGAGAAGATAGTCCATCTTTGTGTTCCTCTTCATCACTGCTACTTGATGAGTGAGTGTTATCGTTATTCGGTATTGGTTGGTGATTAGTAGATGTTGGAATGTTTCGGGTTGTTGGTTGATTATTAGTTGTATTTCTATTCGGAGATGTTCGAGCATCTCTTAGATCGGTAGGATTTCTTTTCGTTTGTTGTGAAGATGGCTGTTGTTTAGTTGTGGTATCATTAGTTGTATGTTGTTGTTCAGCCTGTTGCAAACTTCTAATGTGTGCAAAGACATTCCTTGCTTCCTCATCTTCCAAGTCAGACATTTATTTGCATTTTTTGTGGTTTCTTCCCGCCTACAACAGTTAAATTTTGTATTCCAGACCTACTTTATTAAGAACCAACAACTTTTTGAATCCCTCTCTTCGAATTGTTCTTGACTATTTTCATTTGGGGTTGGTTGGATCATTGAGTTGGGCAGATTGACTTTAATAAATGATCGAATTTCATTTAGTGAATTGGTCTTATCTTGTTCACTCAACTCATAATCACTCAATTCAATAATGAATAGTTTTGATAGAAGGAGATCTATTGATTGACTCCCTTCCTTCTTGGACTGTTTTAAATTCTTTCTGAAATTGGAAGGCACTTTTAATTTGAAATTAAAATTTGGCTTTGAAACTAAATTTAATTGGGGTGCTTCTTCAAAGTCGTCATCCTCTTCCTCTCCTTCATGAATTGAAATGTCTTCCATGTTATTATTTTCGGATGTAATTTCTGAAAATCTATTCGAAAGTCTTGCCATTAAGAATATTGATAAATTAGGTTCTAACATTATTTAAAATAATCATCTTGATGAATACCTACTACAATCAGTCATGAAACAATCAAAACCTCCACTTATAATGCTCCTTATTACTTTTTTTGAGAGGTTCGTCATGAGATTATGTTTTTGAGAATTATTAAAATTTAAATGCCAACTCTTTGAATTATTAAACTTGATAATGTACACTTCCTTTGGGTTTGAGATTGAATTTCCAAGTAATATTGAAAACATATTATTCTCCACACTTTGACATAAAACTTCAATAATATTATCAATCATTCTTGTCACAGTTTCATATAATTTCACAAGGCTTTTTTGCTTTGACGAAATTTTCTTCCTTTTCGTTTTAGCCTCATCTTTAATCTTGTTAATTTGTAATTCCAATGACGGAAATAAACTTTCAAATTATTCATTCCGAGACTAGTTGAATTTACCTACCAAGGTATTTGCTGCCTCATAAACAATATATGATGTAAAATATGCTCACACAAAAACGAGCAACACTCTCCATCCAATGGAATATTAGAAGTAACATTTAAATAATTATATTTCATTTCTATTTGAATTTTAGACAATATTCCTTCATCGGAATTGATTTGATCTTCATCCTGTGGAACTGGGATATGAATAAGAGTTTCATCCATTAGCATTTTTTTCAATCATAATTCAGTCAAATTAACAACAATATCTTTAAATTCAAGTACAAGAAAACGATAAGAAATATTGAGGATATTCCAATAGCTAATGAGCAAACAAATTTAGATTTGAGAAATATTTTCTAGCAATTTAAAAAAGAGAAAACCAAGAGGACAATTATGATTTGTGGAATAAGTGGAGGAGGACATTACAATTGACAGGAAGAAACCATCTCCTTAGTAAAGTTGGAAAGATTTTTTAATTTCCTGTACCCTCTTGGAATCCTGTTGAAGTGTTAGATGCTTCTGGGTGAAAAGAAAAAAATGTCATTCAATCCAACCTTTAGAAATTGCATCTTTATTGCATCGAGTGATGAAGAGTTGGCAAAGACCAGAAGAAAACACGACCGTTTGAATGACGCCAGATTTTTTGAGGAATTGAATCAAACTCTGTTTGTTGCCTTTGATTGGAAATCTTCATTTACCCTGATGATGGAGCAGTATAATCAAAACCCGATAGAGTATTTCGAACAACAGGCATTAGCTAATATTGTCAATGAATCCACACAAAACGTAGCGTTGGATGTGAAAAATTGTAAATTTTATTGTGTGATTAGAACTCCTTGGAATTATGTGAAACATTATGGAGATTTCATCAAGTGGTTACAAATTATGAATCAATTAGGAAAGGAGGAAAAATTAATGACTTTTAATCATCCAGAATTATTAACGTGGAATTCTACCAAGAGATATCTCTTTGAAATTCAAGACTCGTGGGAAAATTACTCAATTGTTCCATCTGAGCTCGTTGATAAGGGTATTGCCGAGTCACTTTCCAATGAAGATATTATTGAAAAATATACAGCAAAATTCAATTGTGACAAGTTGGTTTTCAAACCATTGATTTCAGCTGGTTCTTACTTTACATTTGTTGTCTCTAAACAAGATGAGCATGCAAATGATTATGCCAAAGAATCATCCTCGAAAATGGATAAGCTTAAAGAATTTTTCCAATGTGAAAGGGATCAAGAATATCTAGATAGAAACATTATGATGGTTCAACCATTTATGGAGGAAATTGTAAATGATGGAGAGTATAGTTTCCTTTTTATCAACGAGAAACCAAGCCATATGCTTTGGAAGAGACCTAAAGCTGGTGATTTTAGGTTAGTTTTAATTTGATTTAAGCTTAATATTCCCATGACAATCATATATTGAAATTTATCCAAACAGAGTACAAGGTGATTATGGAGGATCGAATACATGCATTCCAAAAGAAAGATTCAACTCTACCATTCTCGAAAATGCACAGAAACTGTTCGACAAGGTTAAGAAGGAAAAATCTCCAAATCACTTGTTGTTATACTGTCGATTGGATGTTATCATTGATTGGCAAACAAACGAGTTAAAGATTTGTGAATTGGAATTATTAGAACCTCATCTCTATTTTGAAACCATTAATCCAAATGATAAATCTGTCGAACTTGCCTGGGAATGTAAACTCTACGAGAGTGTAGTTGCCCTTTCTCACAATACTCTTTAAAATAATTATCAATTGGGATTAAATCTAATAAAAATCATCTAGATAACATAAGATATTTTCATCAACCATTCCTTTGCACTAACAACTCAACTCAAAATTGGTAAATTCGCCACCACTTGAATCCCTTCCAATCAATATTGTGTTTCCATTACTCATAAATTCATTGAACAAAAGGCAATCAATTTTAAGATTTTAAAAAAATATTTGAAAACAAAAATACAACAAAATGTTCGCCCCAAAGAGTCGTTCCCTCCTCACCATGATTGGTTCTCGCGCCAGAGTCCACACTTTTAAGAATGTTTTTGCAGCACCAGCTTGCTCTAGAAATTTCTTTGGTTTTAATAATAACAATAATAATACAGGTTCATCATGGGAACAAAAATCACAACAAACACCACAACAAGAACAACAAGCTGAAACTAAGAAACCAGAACAAACTCAACAACAAGAACAACAACAAACTCAACAACAAACAGAAAACACCCAAAAGACTCAACAACAAACAGAAAGCAAGCCTGCTGTTGATGATGCCAGAGTGAAAGAATTGGAAAAGGAAATTGAAAATTTAAAGAATAGCAATGCCAAGTATGACGACCAACTCAAGAGGGCTGTTGCCGAAATGGCCAACGTTCGTCGTATTGCTAAGAACGATGTCGATAATGCTAAAAAGTTTGCTCTCCAATCCTTCTCTAAAAATCTCCTCGATGTTGTGGATAATTTGGAAGCTGGTTTGAAGCACTTGATAGAAGAAGATGTTTCTCAAATTGTTAAATTGGCTCAAAATAATCCAGAATGCAGTGAAGAGATGCGAAAGAAGGCTAATGCCTTGTTCACTTCAATTGAAGGTGTCAAGAGAACTGAAAATGTCTTGTTGAAGGTCTTGGAAAGAAACGGAGTCACAAAGATGGAAGTTGCTGAAAAGACACCATTCGATCCTAATTTCCATGAAGCCATGATGAAGGTTCCACCATCCGAAAAGACACCACACAACACTGTTGCTATGGTTTTGAAGAGTGGTTGGATTCTTAATGAAAGAGTTTTGAGACCTGCCCAAGTTATCGTTGCCATTCAAGATTAAATTTCTTTTGTTATTTCAGTATTATTTTCATAATTTTTAATTCCAATTTTCTTCGCATTCCATAGTGTGGCTTAAGCCCAAAGTTTTACCATGTTATCGAAAACAATATAAAGAGAAAGCGAAAGGGTTTAGATAGATATTATTAACACCAATCCAATTGATTTAGAGCTATTGTTCAATCTTGCTGCAACAGATTTTTATATTGTAGTAATGAATCTTTCGACCTCCGGAGAGTGCATCTTCATTAAGGCAACAAGGGATAACAGAGGAATAATGGACGCCAAATGATTATTAAATTTATATTTTAAAAAATTGCAATATCTTCTGTTCTGTAACATTCTGAAGATGGAAGGCCATCAAATCCATCAAATGAAAAGGCTTGTAATTTTATTATTGATTGCCTTGGTTGTATGTGTAGGCGTGACCAATTCAGCCAATGGACAAAAACCAAGCTTTCAAAAGATAATTAATAATATTAGAGCAAAATCATGTAATCTTGTCGGTTTGGATGGTGTTTCCAAATGTAAGGACATGTTAAAGGTTGGAGCTAATGGAGAGAAGAATATTAGGGATCAAATTAAGGCAGGCATTGGCTTTGGTCGTTATACACATGAAGTAATGCTCCCTGTTCTCAAATCTAAACAAGGACAAGATGGTATTGTTGCTGGAGGAGTTCTCAATGCTGAATTCATCAAACAAATGAAGAGTCCTAGAGAATTCTATGAGATGATGTATCCAAGCGCAACCAATAAGGATAACTCAAAGATTTACAATGGATTATACGCTCGTTCTGCTGGCATTATTTTCGACAGTTATTTTGCTGGAAGTTTGACAATTACCAGTGCTCAAAAACAATTTTTTACTCATTATGTGGAAAGTGAAGATGTTGTAACTGATGAATTCCAACAAATTATTGACTTGTTACCTGATGCATTCGATCAAGATGTTTATAATCTAGTTCTTACATATTTTGGGGATGTTGTTATGACTAAGGTCAGCTATGGAGGTGTTGTTGATCAGACCACTCTCATCAAGGAATGTTACACTGATCCTAAAATGATGGATTATATCAAGAGTCAATTGAATAGTCTCATTAATAACAAGACTGATACTCCTCCTAATGGTTTTATTAATTACAGAAAGGTCGAACAGGTTGATATTGCAGGTGGAAATCCAGAACTCTCACTTGTTCAAAAGAGAATCGCCTCATTTGCTGAAAATCCAGTTCCTGTCCAATTCGATGTCAAACCAATATATCAAGTATTTCCTACTGGTACCAAGAGAGAAAACATGAAGAAAGTTTACGATGCGCTTGTTCAACAACAATCAAACATTGTTAATGACATACTGAAAAAAATTGAAGATAATAAGCTTGTTGAATTCTTAAAGGGACAAACTATTTACATTTACGATGTACAAACAAGCCTATGTAAGAATCCTATTGTCTTTTTCAATAATTGTCCTCATCAAAAATTGTGTAGAACTGCTTGTGCTAACAAGTTTGAGAGCTCTATTTTGTCACCAAATGGTGTTAAGGAAATTGAACGTTACAATATTCACATTTGTGGAAGTTCTGTTACTCGTGATATCATCAATGGCGAATTCACTTCCAATCCTATTAAACATGACAAGGATGAATATGTTTTGCATCCTCGTTTGGAATCTGATGAAACTCCAAAGGATAATACCATCACAGAATTTTTGGACAGATTTGGCATTATTGATATCAACAACAATGCAAGATCAGTTTTGATGAACAAGACAAGAAGTTCTTCTCCTGGAAATCATGTTAGAAAGGGAACTTCATGTCCAGCTGGTTATGTTGCTCTGGAAAAGTTTAGAAATGCTGATGGTGCCTTTGGTGTTCGTGTCAATATTTATAATGCCAATGGGAGTGTATGGAAGACTTATTTCCAAACTCAAATGCTCAATTCTGGATGTGTTGATGTTCCGTATAAGAAGGTTATGCTTTTGGATCCATTTGTTTCATGGAGTGATGACAATTTAAAGTTTACTGCTTGTGCTATGTGTACTCCTGCTGTTAGTGGTGGAAATAATTTGAGTTGTAATTGCCCTACTTTCTAATTGTTTATAGAAAGGGTCATTATTGAATTTAATAAAATTATGTAGAATAATGATATTTCGAAAAGAAAATATGTTAACTTAAGAAACGACCAAGGTACGGCAGAAAATAGGAACGGGAATAGGTATGCAAACAAGGCATGGATATTTTTACAATTTTTACAAGAAATAAATAAACAATATGAATTTTAAATTAATCGTAATATTATAGAATGAGTCCTTTATTACATAAATTTAATTTTTTACCTGAAAAGGTTGAACAACTATCGAATAAATATATTATTATTTCATTATTAAATTTTTTTATTGTAAAAGAATTTCAAAATTTTTAAAATTTATAATAATTCATGATTAACATAAATTGATTCAAGTAAAACTTGGAATCAATGTAAACAACTTGGCATCTAGCATTGATATCTTTCCAATCAACGTTTAAATTGGAAGATTTCACTCTATTCAATTTTCTGAATTGACATACTTGGTGATAATCATTTGTAACAATCCACACTTTTCCAAATTTAACTGTATCTTTTGTATGTGATTGAATACATCCTATGTATAATTTTCCTTCTTGTTTAAACATTAAGTATTGATTTGGAGCAATTGCTTTAAACCATTGTTTTGATTTCTTTCGTAACCAAGGATATTTAGCATTAAGACTGACATGTAACTTTTCAAATGCTGCACCCCGCTTTTCAACATCCTTATGATTCGATCCATCATTAAACTTTTTAAAAAGTTTGTGTTTCAATTCGAATAATAAAGCCCAAAAGTATCTAGGACTTCCCCATTCTTGACAATCTTCAAATAAATGAGTTACCCAATGGAAATTAACATTATGACATTTGTTTGGATATAATTCAACATAATGTTCTCTGAATTGGAGGAAAATAGATTTGGATTTTTCAATAGAAAGAATTGTTACCTCATTTCTTAATAACATACTCGTCCATGCAATATGTTCTACCCAACAAACAACATGTCTAGTTCTTTTTTCTTGTGAAATATGTTTCAATTCCTTATTTGAATAAATTAACTTGTAAATTATTGGAATACTATAAAAACCAAATTCTAAAAATTCGTCAGCTGAACAATTCAAATAATTTGATGCTCTCATTCTAATTGATTCTCCAGAACTTAAATAAAACTCATCTATAATATCCTGAAAATCAGAAAATAATCTTGGGTATGAAAAATATTCTATTAATGCAGTCAAATGTCTTCTTAATTCACCTTGAACAAACACATGCATAAAGTCAACTGTTGAATTCTTAAATACGTCATGATTTCTTAGCTTATACAATGGGTTATCTTGTTTTTCAAGTGTAACACCATTTTTTTTCATTTGAGTGAGCTTTCTTTGTACAGTATTGTAATCAAATTTTGAATCAATTAATTCAATTTCTTGTTTTGATAATAATTTAAACCCTTTTCTTTCCTTTTTAGGTGTTGTTTCAATACTTTCATGAATTGAAACAGCTTCATCTACAGTTCTAATGCTAAATGTATGTTCTAAAACTGGTTCATCTTCCATATTATCAGTTTCTTGATTTTCTTCATCTTGATCATCTTCTTTTCCTGTTTCTGGATTGAAATAATTACATTCTTCATCAATATCATTTGGATTGTGCGTTTGGAGATCAGTTTCAACTTGCAATTCTTGTTCTGTTTCCGTTTCATGTTCTTTACAGGGCTTTGGTATAAATTGTTTCAAATTTAAAGACGGATTCTTGAAACAGAACTCATTGTATGAATCAATTAATTCATCTGGAGTTGAGCTGTACATATTTTTTGGACAATGACATCTGGAGCAAAGATATTGTTCCATGAATAAAGTAAACCATCTTTGAACTGAATCCCAAATCCAAGGACCTAATACGTATTGAAGAGATATTTCTTTTTGTAAACCTGAATGTTTCACAATAAATGTTTTCCCTTCAATTTCATTATATTCATTAACAAACATTTCCAACATTTTAAATAAACCCTTAATATTTCTACATTTCCCAAGTAATGAAATGGATTCCATTGAGCTT